GGCTAACAGTGGGAGCTCACCTCAGTCCCTGGATTCAAATTGCCAACCCTTCAGTCAGCAAGTTCAGCAGCTCAGAGATTTAATCCACTGCACCACCAGGGAGCCATTATACACACACACACACTTTGTTGTATATTTGATACATGTATCGTAGAGGTGTGCAACGCAACTGAAATTTTATTAGTAATTTTTTTCATAGATTTGGATGGCTCCCACTACATTTCAAAATGTTTTGAAGGATTCCCGTTTCATTTTGTAATCTGCAACTGAACAAATAAACAACAAAATAAAACTATACTAGGACTTCCTTCTATTTTGTTGTTGTTTATTTGTTCAGTCGCATCTGACTGTTCATGACCTCATGGACCAGGCCATGCCAGAGCTCCCTGTCAGCCGTGGCCACCCCCAGTTCCTTCAAAGTCAAATCAGTCACTTCAGGATGCCATCCATCCATCTTGCCCTTGGCCGGCCTCCCTTCCTTTTCCCTTCCAATTTCCTCAGCAGCATTATCTTCTCCAAGCTTTCCTGTCTTCTCACTATGTGGCCAAAGTCCTTCATCTCTTCCTCTAATAGCCCTCCCTCCAGTGAGCACCCTGGTTTTCAAACAGTTCTAAGCCATTGAGGCAGTGAAAAGGGACAGAGCCCATCCCACGACGCAGGGAGTTGTCCTGTCTCTGCACCCATCATGATGCAGTAGTCAAACATCATAACAGTCCAAAAAAAGGGAAGGGATAGAAGAAGGTCTGAGATCATCTTTTGGACTCAGGAACTAGAATATTTCATTTCAAAAGTACAAAAACACATGGGATAAGAGCTGCCAGAATCACCTGGATTGAATCGAATCTATGACAGGGACCTGTGGGTGGTCTCCTACCAGCGGTGAGTCCCTGATGCTCTGCCATAATGCAGCTGCTCAATCCTTTTCAATTTTTTTATATTTAAAACTAAGAAATGTCGCTATTTTAGCAGGTCGCTATTTTTTCTTTGCCTTTAATAATGCAAATTTTGAACCAGCGAGAATTCAAAGTCTTGTGATGTGAAAGTAAGAACATTTTTTTAAAAAAAGGAGGGGGGACAATCAACTCATGCGTGGAATAAGGATGAAAGCGGTTAGTAACAGAAAAAGCAGCAAATTAAGATGACATATTGTAAGTTATGAATAACGGAATATAGTGATTTGCAATGCTATGGGACTAAATGCTACATTTACATGACACTAACCACCACCACCCCAAACACGCGCGCGCGCGTGCACACACACACACACACACATGCATGGGATAAGGACCTAAGAAGAAATTGAAGGGATGCACAGAAGGAAAGAAAGGAGCAAAAGTAAGCAGAGAGGGACAGAGGGAGGGACATCAAATGCCACATGACGGGCAAAATGAGAGTACTGCTCTTCGAAATGGGAATTCTTCCTCCCCATGAACTTTTCCATAAGTTTATGATTGCAGAGTGCGAGACACTGACAACTGTTCACGTCTATTACTCATCATTTGCTGGGTGTGCATGTTCTTCATAACCTTTTCTGACCTTTTTCTTTGGTTGCCTGAACTGTTTCTAAATGCTCTGTGGATGTTTTATGTTTATGTAATTCTGGTAATTTCAGAAGTAATGAAATTTTAATGTGGGAGAAGAATCTGTTCTACTTTAGTCAGATGTCACCTGGAATCCTTTGTCCAATAGGTTCTGGCAAAAAACACCTGCTGCGGTCTCTCTTAGCTTGTGTGTTCCTTCTCAGTAACATTTTCCGTCTTGACCACACTGACATTGCTCGATCACATCTGTCCTGATTTTCAACTATGAAATGTTGGGCAGAATGTTTTCCTCAATCAATCCACAAAAGTGTGTTGAAATTTCAATTAGCAAACTTCTGAGAGCTGCCACAAGATCTCAGGATGACCTCTTTAAAGATTAAAATATTCTACTACTACTACTACTACTAATTTATTTATTTATTTGCTATACTTGTATACCGCTGTTTCTCAGCCTAGCCGGCGACTCAACGCGGTTTACAACAAAATACAACAATCAACAGTATACAATTTAAAACCATAAAAGCATAATACACAATATTCGCATATCAATAACAATCCAATGCATCTCCTAACTAAAATCGTGATCCAGTTTCGTCGTCCATATTACCAATCCTCTAATCATTACATTCATTGCACCGAATTAACCAAATGCCTGTTCGAACATCCAGGTTTTTAATCTTCTTCGGAACATCATCAGCGAGGGGGCTGATCTTACCTCCATGGGAAGGGCGTTCCATAGCCGAGGGGCCACCACAGAAAAGGCCCTGTCTCTCGTCCCCACCAGCCGCACCTGTGAAGCAGGCGGGATAGAGAGCAGGGCCTCCCCAGAAGATCTTAGGGTCCTGGTGGGCTGATAGGCTGAGATACGTTCGGATAGGTAAGTTGGGCCAGAACCGTTTAGGGCTTTAAAGGCCAGCACCAGCACTTTGAATTGAGCCCGGTAGCAAATCGGCAGCCAGTGGAGCTGGTGCAGCAGAGGAGTTGTATGCTCCCTGCGCTCCGCTCCTGTTAGTATCATGGCTGCCGAACGTTGGACTAATTGGAGCTTCCGGGCCGTCTTCAAAGGCAACCCCACGTAGAGAGCATTGCAGTAGTCTAAAGGGATGTAACCAGAGCGTGGACTACCGTGGCCAAGTCAGACTTCCCAAGGTACGGGCGCAGTTGGCGCACAAGTTTTAACTGTGCGAATGCTCCCCTGGTCACCGCCGAAACGGGTTCCAGGCTCAGCGATGAGTCCAAGATCACACCCAAGCTGCGAACCTGCGTCTTCAGGGGGAGTGCAACCCCATCCAACACAGGCTGTAACCCTATGCCCTGTTCGGCCTTGCGACTGACCAGGAGTACCTCTGTCTTGTCTGGATTCAATTTCAATTTGTTCGCCCTCATCCAGACCGTCACAGCGGCCAAGCACCGGTTCAGGACCTCGACAGCCTCCTTAGTAGCAGGTGGAAAGGAGTGACAGAGTTGGACATCATCCGCATACAGATGACATCGCACTCCGAAACTCCGGATGATCTCATAATAATAATAATAATAATAATAATAATAATAATAATAATAAAAGAATATTAAGAAATATATTACATTTAGTCCTCCATACAGATTTGATTATTTGCAGATTTTATTAATAAGTTTTATCTAGGAATCTCTAGGTCCTTCCATTGAAAATTGACCATAAACTTGTGCTTAATAGCCCAAGCCATGTAGTCACTCCTGGCTGTCTTCATGATCTTCAAGGACTTCCAGACCTTATCACAGGGTAAACTGGGTTAATCTGATTTAGCCCCACTTTAAGGAAAGTCAGGCTCCTTCTACCAAAACAGAAAATCCACATTCTCTGATTGGAACTGGATTATCTTAGGACTTTCACACAGCTCTATATACCAAAATATCAAGACAGAAAATCCCACATTATCTGAGTGTGGACTGGAGGGTTTCCTGACGTAGAAGGAATTCCTACAAATGTTGCTTGTTTGGTTTGGGAAGTAGCAATGCCTACTGAAATTCATGCCATTAAAACTACACTCTGGCAATCCTAGTGCTAGAGTAACCATTCAAAAACAGTTGGCAAGCAAGGCAGGTGATACACATGTATTTGCCCCCCAAACACATACACATCTTCATGCAAACACACATACACAGAGAGATACCCACTCTTTTCAAGACATGTCCCTCAGACTGAGCTTCCTTCCTTGTTCTGAGGAACTCAGTAGAGTGGCCATCTCCTGAGATCTGGAATATCATCTCCCCCACATATCTGCATAACATATTCCTCCCATTGTGAGGGTGCAGAGAAGAGCTTTTACAGCAGATGCCAGTACCTGGATATATATATATATATATATATATATATATATATATATATATATATATATATATATATAATCGGCCCCATCTACACTATCATATAATGCAGTTTGAAATTGCATTATATGGCAGTGGAGATGAGCCCATAGAGATTGATCCTCCTCCAAGTATCCAATTTTGGACAGCCAGTGCAATTCCTTTAGCACCAGCACTGTGAAGTCCATATGATGCCAGGATGAGAACAGTGCTCCCTCCAGTGTGTCGAATTGCAGCTCACAGCATTCTTCACCCTTACTTATACCAACTAGGATTGCTGCAGATTGCTCCCAGTTGCATATCTGGAAGACCATGATAAGCCCCAGCCTCGCTGCAAGTAGCGATAAGCCGTTGTACACCTGATGGACTCACCTCCCCGAGGGTTTGATTATCTTGTTAGTCCTTGCTGTCCCCTGTAGCTCAGTCCAAATAGAAAAGTTGGATAGAGAGGCTTCAGCAGCAGGGCTTTTTAAGGCTTGCAAATAACACCCAGAGAGAAGGCAGCTCCTACATGTATGATTACAAAGGGCAATGACCATTTGGTTTCAGCCTGCTCTGCTGAAGGTTGGGTAAGAGGACATTGCAGAGTAAGGGGACATTGTGTGAGAGTTCGTTCAAGGTAGTTCAGTAGTTACTGAACCTTTCCCACCGTTCAGCCAGAGTATCCCTGAACCGCATAAAAACAAGACTCAGGGCCCAACTACACAGCACTTAAAACAAGGCATTTACCGGGTTAAAAGGGGGGGGGGGGTGGCTACATGATACTACCTGTAAATCTGCGCTGATTCACTGCAACTGACAAAAAACATGGGGCAAAAGGTCCCCTTTTATCCTGATTCCATCTCCTTAATATAGAGGTCTCTGTCTGTCCTGGCTGAGTGTGCCCTTTTTTAGCATCATTCTACCTGTAAAATTTGAATAGGATGGTGTCAAGATTATCTCACCACACTTTGGAGTGTATGGATAGAGTGTACATCCCACCTTCAATCCTGCCTCCTGCAGAATTCTGAGTTTATAATTTAGTGAGGCCCAGGGCCTTTCTGGCAGAGAATTTTAAAAGCACCTCCCTAAAGTACAAGCCACAGAATTCTGCAACAGAATGAGACACAGGAAAGGTTGAAGGCAAAAGAACAAAGGCTTTATTCATTTTAGCCAAAGTGGATGCCAACAGAGTCTACACTCTCAAAAATGGACATGCCACAATGAAAACATATAGAAGCATTTATAGGACTTTGAGAGCTTTTCACAACCAAGGACATTCACAATTCCAAATTCCCCCATGCCAGCAGAAGGGAGACCGACACCAGCAAACAGGGCTGTAGCCATGAGGGTGGGGTGGGGGTGGTTAGGGGTTCAAATCTACCCCCACCCCATTTTTCAGGTAAAAAACCCCCCTAGTTTTCTCATAACCAAATCTCCATGCTGCTAAGTCTATGAGAAAAATTAGATTGATTTAATTAAGTCAATATAAAATATAGAATGAGCCATACTGTTTAAATTATTTTGTGTTATGGAACTACTCTTCATTATTTGCTTTAAAAAATTCAAATCCACCCTGATTTTTTTTCTGGTTACAAAGCTGCCAGCAAAGCAACAAAGACAGGTTTTCTCCAATATAGCTTTATTAGTTTCTTCCATACTTCATGCAGCAATCACAGCTGTTAAACATGACAGCAATGAACGCAGATCAGACCAATATGAATACAGATTGTAACTTTGAGTCAATTAGCACAAAGTCCATTGTTTTTGAAAGACCATAATATAAAGATAACTAATCCAACACAATTAATCTTATTAGAAACATCATGGCCCACAGAGACATGCATCATACGATGGAGCTGGCCTCATTTTGGTTTGTAGCATGTGGTTTAAAAAGACCACAGTGTCGAGCAGGCGATACCGGCATCACCTGAGCTGGCTCAGTGCTAAGACGGAGGAAGTTCTGCTGTGCAGCATTATAAGGCGGCCACTCCACTTCTTTCTTCTCTGATCCTGTGGGATTCCTATTGAGGAGAAAACAATATGTTTATAACCAGCAGGCTGTGATGTTGCATGTTAACTCTGGAAAAAATGGTAGAAGGCATTGCAAAGTTTGGAGGTTCCTTTAGGTTTGAACTAGGAATATGTATAGAAAAAAGGGTGCAGAAAAAGGGGGTTTAGCTATTTTTTTTTCTCTCAAAACCAATTTAGTCTGGTTAGCTGCTGTGACAAAAGAGTAGCAGAAAAGACTATGCTTTGGCATTTTCCCRCAAAATTCTATTTATGTTTYCCCTAATTTGACAGGGACTGTCCCGATTACACTTTGTCCATCTCACTTTTTCAGATACTTTTAAAAAGTCCCAGTTTCCCTCTTCTTCACCCAGTGTTTCCCTCTTGTTTTTTACTCTTTTTCTTCCTGACGAGTTTTYCATTCTCACCCCAACCACCATGTCCTTTCAGGCTTCACCCTGGAAGAGTCCTAGTATGGAGCCSTAAGAACACAGGTGGCTACTCATGTTCTCATAGCCTGAAACAGGGCCAGCATGGTGAGAAGCTGGCCATCCACACTTTCCCCCATGTGATGGGGAAGGCRGCAATGCTGGCAATGTAATTAATCATGGGACGACAGTCTCCCATGCTGCYTGATGGATTCCCCACACTGCCCAGTAAATTCCTCCACCATYGCCCATGTTAGAGGCCTCAATGTGATGAGGTCCTAAGAGTCAGTGAGATAGTGTTAGGTAACRTGAMATACTCCAAGTAATGCAATGTTTTTAACTTYAGCTCTATCTTKTYCCTCTTCCTCCTTTCTCCCCTTTTCTCAATGTWCATGACATTGTGCCAAAATGGATAGAATCTACTTTATTTGGTTCTSAYCACACACTGGGTTACACAACCTGTCACACAAAGTCTGACATTGTTTTCTGCTTCCTTTTGCACATCAGTTAACAAAAGCAGAGAGTTTTGGCTGCCCAAATTTCTTCTACCTGTGACTCTCTGGAATCAAAATCTGAATCAAAAGCATTTTGTAATATGATATAAGATGGTATTGAGCAGACCTTCAGAGAAATGATTCCTGATCCCAAGTATATAAAAGATGGGGGGTGTAAGATGAGAGAGATGCACATGAATTAGAGAAAGAAGAGAGAAAGTAAGGAACAGAGATGTGCATGTGTGTGAATAAGAGAAAGGAAAACAGGGAGATAATGTGAGGGAGAGAAGGGAAAGAAGAGTGAGACAAGAGAGAGGAAAGCAAAAAAGAGACATGCATGAGAAAGAGAAGGGAAAATAGGGAAGGGGAGAAGATCATCACTACAAACAGTTATGGTGATCCCATTTGGAGTCCCAACCTATAAGTTAAAAAGCTGTGATCTAAAGCACAGCTTCTTAAACTATTGGTCCTGATCCCAAATGTCCCAAATTTTGGAACATGGCCATACAGTCCAAAAAACTTACAGCGACCCTGTACAAGCCTGTTTAGCAAGGCTTCCAAATGCCAATTTGTTATCAGTAAATGTTTGATTATTATGCCTATTTTATATGCCTGTATGCACTGGGTCATGTAAGAATTTGTTGGCTGAAAGCAGTTGCAATGGAAATGTTTAAGAAGCTCTGAACTACAGAAATGCATAGCACTGATCCTCATAATAATTAATATGGGTGATTACCTGCAACAGATGGAAACAGCATAAAGCTGTTAAGCAAAATACAACTCAAGGATCCTTAGCTGGATTGATTGGCCAAGAAGTCTTCTGATTTCACATTTTTTTCAGATTTTGGAATTCCTGTTTTTGCAAATATATACATAATGAGAGATTTTGGAGATGGGATCCAAGTTTAAACCCAAAATGCATGTATTCTACCTATAGAATTTATATACAGGGCTTGAAGATAATTGTACACAATATGATCAATACTGTAATTTTGAGCATGAAACAAAATTTGTGTACATGGAACCATCAGAAAACAATTGTGTGGCTATCTCAGGACAATTTTGGCTGATGGAGTATTCAGAATTCCAGCTAACAGGTGCTCAACATTTAACTTAAAATTCATTAGTTGTGCCTATTTACAAGGTATAAAGCACAATTTTTAGGATATGTAATGAAGGAAATAATATGAGAGAAGAAAATAATATGCATTCTATTTCTCTGATAGAACTGATTTCTTGAATAAAGCAAAGGAGAATGAGAAAGAAAAATGTCTTACCCAGTTCTGGCGAACTCTGCCCAATATCGCATTATCCTACGGCTGAGCACTGCCTCCACTTCCGTGTGTGTTTTGTTGGCCTCGAATGCTGCCTTAAAGTTTCCTAACAGATAAAGGAGTTCTGCTCCATGAGGCGCCCCGGCCCACTCAGGCCAGATAGCGCCAGAGGTGTGATGTGCAAAAAGGTAAACATACACAGGACTCCCAGCTTTTCTGATCTGGGCAGAAAATTCGGCTGCAGGACACACAAAGAAATAATCACTTGAAGACTGCACAAAGGCTGAACGATACTTTGCTGGGCCATGACTCTCTCCACTGTACTTCTGGGCTACAACCTGAATATCTTCTTCAGTTGCATTTCGCACTGTCATTCTTAGTACTTTCATAAATTGTTCCTGAGTGATTTCGCTGCGATTGTTTGCAAGAGAAAGAAAATCCACCAAGAAAGCTCCTTCATCTGAGGTGACACCAGTGAGAATTGGTTTGATCTGCACATGCTGAGAGTCTAAAAGTCTCTGAGGATCATCGGTCAAAAATTCCCCATCTGTTGTTGGTACAAAGATGAAATCAAAAATAAAATCATTTTTCTGGGACAGAGATGTTTCACACTGAGGAAATTCCATTGCATCTTTTTTCTGAAGGCAACTAACAATTTCATTTTCATTGCCTTCTCCACATCCCAGGAGCTGACTAATTTCAAGGGATTTATTCTTGGCCTTCTCAGGATGTATCCAAGCCCAGATGGCATTGGGTACTCCACTCTGAAGCACAGCTTGGGCAAAAAGGGGCTCACTTTTGGGTGAAAGGAGATGGTAGCCAATAGAGGCTCCTCCAGCACTATGACCAAAAATTGTCACCCGATTTGGATCTCCACCAAAGGCAGCTGCATTCTCCTTGATCCAGGACAGAGCCAGGTGTTGATCCCACAGACCCATGTTTCCAGGGATGACTGGTGGCAAGGAAATGAAACCCAAAGAACCCAGGCGGTAATTCATGGACGCCACAATGATATTCTCTGTCACAGCTAAAGAAGCTCCATTGTACACGTCCAGGGAACTTGTACCTCCAACAAAGCCCCCTCCGTGTATCCACACAAGGATAGGAATTGGTACAGAGGGTTGCGGATGGGGAACCCAGATGTTGAGAAAGAGGCAATCTTCTGATAGGGGCCTATTGGGATTCGCTATTTTTGTCTCAGGTGTTTGAGGAAGAAGTTGCTGAAAGCAGGCATTGCCAAAGTCAGTGGCCTCAAAGATTTGACTCCAGGGCTGATGTGGAAGAGGTTTCTGGAATCGCAGTTTCCCCAAGGGGGGCTCAGCATAGGGAATGCCAAGATAAGCTCTCACAGAGCCAGAGCCAACGGTGAGAGTTTTGCCCTTGATAGGACCACTACTGGTGTCCACCACAAGGTCATCTTTGGAGGCAGCATTGGAGGCCAGTGAAAACAGGATGAAGAAGGAGCATGATATGGAAGTGGCAAGACCAAGCATTGCAGCCACTGGAAGGAGAAAGGTCCAAGTGAGATCACAAGAAATACAAAGGAAGCCCTCTTCCATTCTCACTCAGTGTACGCATCCAATCTAAAATATAGATGCTGATACAGAGAGAGAGAGAGAGAGAGGTACACACAATATAAAATAAAACAAACTGGGCAATACATGTTGTCCAGTGGTTCCCAACATTTGTTCCTCAAGGTGTTTTGGACTCCAAAATTCCTGAAAGATGGTAAGCTTGCTGGGATTTCTTGGAGTTGAACTCCAAAACAATTGGGGGATGGAAGGTTGGGAACCACTGATGTAATCAAATTATACAAAACTGTGAAATAATACTAAACTTTGGACATATCTGAATTGCAGAATTGTAGCATTGACCCATGGCAGTTTGATTTAATTGCCATGGATCAATGCTACAGAATCCTGGTGTTTGTCTTTTCATTATTCACAGAGAAAGCTCAAGATCCTGGGATTGCAAGATAGGAAAACAGGAATTTTGGAATTTTTGTGACAGTGTATAGATGCTTCATTTCATTCATAATAGCCCTACTACACCTGATGAACTCACCTCCCCGAGGGATTGAATAACTTGCTAGTCCTTGCTGTTCCCTTGTAGCTCAGTCCAAATAGAAAAGTTGGATGGAGAGGCTTCAGCAGCAGGGCTTTTTAAGTCTTGCAAATAACACCCAGGGAAAAGGCAGCTCCTACATATATGATTACAAAGGGCAATGACCATTTGGTCTCAGCCTGCTCTGCTGAAGTTTGGGTAAGATGACATTGTGTGAGAGGTAGTTCAAGGAAAAGAGGGCAGTGATTACTGAATTTTTGCGACCTTTCAGCCAGAGTATCCCTGAACAGCATAAAAACAAGACTCTGGGCCCAGCTACACAACAACTAAAACATGGCGTTTACCGGGTTAAAGGGGTGTGTGGCGGCTACATGATACTACCTATAAATCTGTGCTGATTCACTGCAACTGACAAAAAACAAAGGGCAAAAAGGTCCTCTTTGATCCTGATTCCATCTGGAAAATGTGCATATCCACATTATATATATCTGCACTTGTGAAAAACAAGTGATTTCCTTCCCTCCACCCTACGTGGACTGCTCCAGCACACATCTGCTTTATTGCTGATTTCAGGGTGTTGGCTTGGCAATTGGATTGGAATGATTCTGCCTTGCAGAGTCAATTTTCTACAGTCTAAATTTGGAGCTGCAGGAGGAGATTGCCCAGGTACCAGTCATGACCTTTTTAGAAGAGCTGACCACTATATGCCTTCGGCTGGATGGTGTGATCTCAAATCGGCATCAGCTGTGAAAGGAAGATGCAGAACGGGCAGCATGACTTGGTGCCACGGTCCAACCACCTGTAGTGGACACAGGAGAACCTATGCAATTGTGTACTGTTCGGCCCAAGATTGATGCGACGGAGTAGGTGCATCGGCAGCGGATGAACATATGCTGGTACTGCAGATCTGCTGGTCATTTCTCCCAAGAGTGTCCCGCAAAACAGAAGAGAAGCCTCCCAGGCCACCAGCAGGGATTGCCACAGTCTCACAGTTTCCAGGTCCATCAGAGGAACAGTACGACCAGGTTTAGGTGAGCTCATCAGTTCAGTTGTCCCAGGGCTCATATCCTCCTCGCCATGAAGGTAGGAAGTGCAGGAGGAAGAAAAGGTTGAATCACAGCACAGAGAGGATCCAAAAAGGGGCACATCTCCTTAATATAGATGTGTCTGTCTATCCTGGCTGTGTGTGCACTTTTCTAGCATCATTCTACATGTAAATTTTGAATGCGATGGCATCAAAATTATCTCACCACACATAGAGTGTGCATCCTACTTTCAATCCTGCCTCCTGCAGAATTCTGAGTTTGTAACTTAGTGGGGCCCAGGACCTTTCTGGCTGAGAATTTTAAAGGCACCTTCCTAAACTACAAGCCACAAAATTCTGCAACAGAAAACTACAGTTTGTTACAAAGGTGCAGTAAAAACATTGCTGTGGAGAAAATCTCTCTGACGTGCGAGGCCTGCTCCCAGGGCTGTTCCTCTACAGAGAATGGCTGAAGAAATGCAGAGACCTGTAGTGGATCCCCCTCCTTCATCTACTTCTGTCAGCAGAATTGCTGACATGAAATGACATGTTATTTCACCTGCTAAGCTTTCTAGAGCTGTGCACCTGTTCCTGTTTCCCCATAATAGAATGTTAGTAGCCACCATGCTGTTGTTTCTGTTCTCACTGATTTACTGCTCTTCTGTTATTATGTTAAATACTTTTTTTATCATTGCACATCATTTCAGGTCCACTAAAATTACAGTTTCAGAATCCAGAGTGTCTAGCTCCAAAGATTGAATGAGACCCAGGACAGGTTGAAGGCAAAAGAACAGAGGCTTTATTCACTTTAGCCAAAGTGGAGGCCAACAGAGTCTACACTCTCAAAAACTGACATGCCACAATGAAAACATGTAGAAGCATTTATAGGAGTTTGAGAGCAGTTCACAACAAAGGACATTCACAATTCCCAATTCTGAATGGCTCAGGTTAGGGGCATGCTGATTGGTTGAGATGCTCCATCTGCTGCATCTCAGCCAGCCAATCATCAGTCACTGTTTGGTTGCTGAGTTTGGCGGGAAATTTAATAAACTATCATTTCTCACTGTGAAATTCTGTAGCTGTTTCTTGGTCTGCCTCTTGTGGGTGATTAGGGAAAAGGAATGGGGGTAGGCTTTGGGTTAATGTGTGCTAATGGCTTCATTCCTGTTTGCCTGGAGTAGGACTATGGATCTTGACTGGCTAAACAGTGGGTGGCAAATGGAGTTGGCATGTTTTGAATGGGTTCTCAGGAAAAGGGTCTGGCAGGTCAGTGGGCAACTTCTGATCTGAGTCAGAACTAATCTACAGGAAGCTGTTATGGAGAAAATAACATTTTGAAGCAATGTGTAGGTTAAAGTTTCTGTTCCTTAAAATATTAATAATCATTACGTTTTAACTTAGGTACCCTCTGATCTACTGTTGTAATGTAATAAAGTTTAGAACTGTTGTTAAGCACAAAAGCTTTGTGTTGTGTTGGGTTTTAGTCTGAGCTTATGAAGAATTCTTCATGGACCTGAACCTACATTCATCTATATGTTGAAACATTTATTCAAAAAAATATTGTTCATTTTGTTAGTTTTGGCCCAGATCTCTAATCTGCTAAAATTATTTTTATTCTGATTCTGTCCTCTGATATATTAATTATTAACTACCCCCCCCCCCAATTTGGTGTCATCTGCAAATTTAACAAGGATTCCTTTTATTCTGTCATCCAGTCATTTTGTCATCCAGGATGAATATGTAGGAGCCATTGGGGAGCACTATTTCGGTTCAGCCAGTCAATCGATTCCCAATCTACCTCACAGTAGCATTGTATAATCAGATCTCTGATTATAATTTGTTTATAGAAAGAGTGAAAGTAAGGTTTGGGCTAACAACACAACAAAGTCGAAAAGCCTCCAGAGGAATAAAACGCAAGGCAGATGAAACATATTCACAACTGGGCTGTCGATTAGGTGGATTGAAGGAAATAAAGTGAATACTTTTGAGGAGTTGAAACAGCTTGTGAGTCTGGAACAATTTTACAGATAGGTACCACCCCAAATGATATGATACATAAAAGATAAAAGAATTCAAGCCGTAGCAGGAGTTGCCACCCTGTTAGATGAACTTGAAGGAGAATTTTAAGGAGGACATTTTTCAGTTCCTTACAAGAAGCTCTTAGAGCTTTTCATTATTGTGGGGGTTCTGAGCCAACACACATTTTGATGTTTCAAATATTAGTCTTGTTTCTGTGTATCTCCTGCTGATGTGAATTATACAATGCAATTTTCTGAATCATCACCCCTAATAACCAAACCAAACCTAAAGTTGACCAAAAACCGATTCATAACTCTTTTGGTACTAATGTTGGAGAGTGATCTCTGGTTGAAGTGATCCCTGGTCAAAGAAGGTTGGGATCCACTGTCACAAACCAATATTCATTTCCTCCCTTGGAAAGCCCCCCTGCCAGTGGAAGGGAGCCCGGCACCAGCAAACAGGGCTGTAACATCAGCATCATGGCCCGCAGAAATATCCATGGCCTCACTTTTATTTGTAGCACGTGTTTTAAAAAGACCACAGTGTCGAGCAGGCGATACTGGCATAACCTGAGCTGGCTCAGTGCTAAGATGGAAGAAGTTCTGTTGTGTAGCATTATAAGGCAGCCACTCCACTTCTTTCTTCTCTGAACCTGTGGGATTCCTATTGAGGAGAAAACCATATGTTTATAACCAGCAGGCTGTAATGTTGCATGTATACTCTGGAAGAAATGGTAGAAGAGATTACAGAGTTTGGAGGTACTTTTAGGTTTGAACAAGGAACATGAATAGAATTCCTTAGGGTGTAGAAAAGGGGGTCAAGCTATTTTTCCCTCTCATAACCCAATGCAGTCTGGTTGCCTGCTATGAGAACAGAGTGCTAGAAAAGACTAGGCTTGGGCATGATCCAGCAAAGTCATATATCATTTTATTTTTGATGATTTACATTGTTTGACTTGTTATGTGTTTCATTATTAATTATATTTTTGTTTTGTTGGAAGCTGTTCTGTGTCCCTTTGGGATATGGGGTGAGATGTAAATAAAACTTCATTCATTCATTCAAAGTCTTTTTTATGTTTTCCATAATTTGTCAGGGAATGTCCGGTTTACACTTCAGCCATCTCACTTTTTCATATATTTTAAAAAGTTCCAGTTTCCCTCTTCTTCTACTGTTTTCTTTTTTTCTCAGCTTATTTCAAGTGTTGCAAATTAAGTTCAATCTGCAAAAGGATTTTGTGCTATATTACCTCCACAGTGGAGAAAATCCCACCCTTCCCAGTAGGTACTGGCAAACGCAAACTGCTGCCGCCTCTCCTGGTTGTGTGGTTAAGCACACGTGTCTCCTCCAATGAAACATTGGAGAGCATATAATGAAGATATTCAGCTGCAGATTTGAAACCCAGCATCCTACTCACATCCTAGTATTATTCCCATTCCAAACTTCACTCAGTCTGTATCAGCTTCACCTATTTGAAAGCCTTTAGTCCCACGTCATCTGTGTCTTTTCTTCAACCCTCTTGTCTTTTACTCTTTTTCTTCCCAGCTATTTTTTCATTTCCACCCCAACCACCATGTCCTTTCAGCCTCTCCCCTCCTAACTGTTCTCTTCACCTTTATGAGGAACCAGCTCTCCTCTCTATTCTCTTCAACTTTGTTTGGAACCAGGACTGTTTTTCCTGCTGTCAGGGTTGCCACATCTTAAATCTTCATATCCAGTTGCCTCAATTGTATATAGCGCAACCCATTTGTTCAATATGCAAGAGATTGGATCAATGCCCAAATGATGAGCTAGCCTAGTTCCAGTCACCAAAGTGAATCAGTGGGATTGAACTGATTTCTTGAATAAAGCAGAGAAGAATGAGAGAGAGAAATGCCTTACCCAGTTCTGGCGAACTCTGCCCAATATCGCATTATTCTATGGCTGAGCGTTGCTTCCGCTTCTGTGTGTGTTTTGTTGGCCTTCAATGCTGCTTTAAAGCTTCCAAACACATAAATAAGTTCCGCTCCATGAGTTGCCTTTGTCCACTCAGGCCAGACAATGCCAGAGGTGTGATGTGTGAAAAGGTAAACATACACAGGACTCCCAGCTTTTCTCACCTGGGCAGCAAATTCGGCTGCAGGACATACAGAGAAATAATCACTTGAAGATTGCACCAAGGCTGAACGGTACTTTGCTGGGCCATGACTCTCTCTACTGTACTTCAAGGCCACAGCCTGAATATCTTCTTCAGTTGCATTTCGCACTGTAATTCTCAATGTTTTTAGAAATTGTTCCTGAGTGATTAGGCTGTGATTGTTTCCAGGAAATATAAAAGCCACCAAGGAAGCCGCTTCATCTGAGGTGACACCAGTGAGAATWGGTTTGATCTGCACATRCKGAGAGTCTAAAAGTCTCTGTGGATCATCAGTCAAAAATTCCCCATCTGTTGTTGGTACAAAGATGAAATCMAAAATAAAATCATTTTTCWGGGACAKAGATGYTTCAYRCTGAGGAAATTSCACTGCATCTTTTTTCTGAAGGCAACTCACAATTTCATTTTCATTGCCTTCTCCACATCCCAGCAGCTGRCTAAGTTCAWGGGATTTATTCTTKRYCKTCTCAGGRYTTRYCCAAGCCCAGATGGCATTGGGWGCTCCACTCTSRAGCACAGCTTGSGMAAAARGGGGCTCACTTTTGGGTGAAAGGAGAYGGAAGCCAACAGAGGCTCCTCCAGCACTATGACCAAAAATTGTCACTCGCTTTGGATCTCCACCAAAGGCAGYTGCATTCTCCTTGATCCAGGWCAGGGCCAGATGTTGATCCCACAGACCCATGTTTCCTGGTATGGCTGGTGGCAAGGAAAGGAAACCCAAAGACCCAATGTGGTAATTCATGGAGGTCACAATGACATTCTCAGTCACAGCTAAAGTTGCTCCATTGTACAAGTCCAGGGAACTTGTACCTGCATCAAATCCCCCTCCATGTATCCAGACAAGAATGGGAATTGGTACAGAGGGCTGTGTATGAGGCACCCAGATGTTGAGAAAGAGGCAATCTTCTGACAGAGGCCTATTGGGATTCCCCATTTTTAGCTCAGGTGTTTCAGTTAGAAGTAATTGGGGACAGGCATTGCCAAAGTCAGTGGCCTCAAAGATTTGACTCCATGGTTGACGTGGAAGAGGCTTCTTGAATCGCAGTTTCCCCAAGGGGGGCTCAGCATAGGGAATGCCAAGATAAACTCTCACCAAGCCAGAGCCAACTGTGAGAGATTTGCCCTTGACAGGGCCACTGCTGGTGTTCACCACAAGGTCATCTTTAGAGACAGCATTGGAGGCCAATGAAAACAGGATGAAGAGGGAGCATGATATGGAAGAGGCAAGACAAAGCATTGCAGTGCCTGGAAGGAGAATGTTCCAAGTGAGATAAAAACAAATACAAATAAGTCCTGTTCTAGTCTCATCCAATGGATGTCTATGTTCACATCACCATCTCTGGTATATTCATATCCTATTGGTAATAATTCTCATTGGTTGCAAGGTGCTCGAGCTCTAGAAAGCTAAGGATTATTCAAATCCTTGAGCCCTTTTCCATTCTCACTCAATTGATGGCCATGTTTACATGGTCAACTCCAGTACATTGATACCCTATTTACAATAAGCACTGCTCAATGGCCCTGCTCAATGGCTCACTGCTTGAGCTCTAGAAGAGTGACTCAAATCCTTGAGCTCTGGTCCTATATTCCAGTTGTATACTTGTATACTTTCTGTTGTAATCAATGTTACCTGTAAATATTGTTGCAAAGAATTTTTGTTTTCTGGGATTGAAGGTACAGAGTGGGGTCCAAGGCCCATAGAAAAACCAAGTAGGGATAAGATCTTGTCTACTTTAGGTTATAATCATATTATGTACAAGGGCTAGCCTTTGGGTTCACAGAATTTTTATTTCATGCTGAGATCAATTATATTTCAAAGATGCTGAAAGGGTTAAGGCTTGCTTCTGACTAATGGTGACTAGGGATTTCCAACTAGCTATTCATTCTGGGGTCTATCCTATTCCTGAACAATGACAGTCACAGAGCTGTCCAGGGTTCTGAAACCTATCCTCAAAATACTAAAGATCTAGCATCTTGGATAGCTCCATCAAAGATATTTGTTTATAGTACTTTCTGGTAATCCCTCTACATTTGCAGTTTTGACTTATGTAAATTTGATTATTCATGGGTTTGATTTAAAACCTTCTCTCTAGCAATATGGACACACCCTCATATATATCTATGGGCACACACACACACATAAACACACAGTCTGTCCTCCATATTTGTGGTTTTAACTCTTATAGATGTGATTATTTGCAGATTTGATTGACTTGGGACCTCATCAACTGAAGGTTGTCCTCCTTTTCTATGCACTTAAAAGACAGAATCTTATGAATTAGCATCAAATTATCATGGCTCATTTGACATGCTTCACATCTTTGCAGCATGTAGAAATGGGTGGATTTTAAAAACAGGTGGGAATCAACCCTACTCATCTCCCTGTACATAGAAACACTTAGAAACTGGAATTTCCCTTGGGATGGGAAGTAGAGTTCCCTTGGGATAGGAAGTAGAGATATTAGGGCTGTGCTATTGATGAAAAATGTTTCAAAACCCATTATAAAATTAGGGGCTCTGGAATTTTGTTTCTAAAGTGTTTCTAATGTATAATTAGTGGAAATTTTGTTACATAATGAGTAATGAAATTTCATTACTTTTCTGTTATAGTAATTCTGCAAGTGGGGAAACTTCAGGGGCTCCTTTCTCCCCTGAGGTGAAACTTGTTACAATGGTAGACGGGGTCACACTCTCCCTGAAGACACAGATCCACAGCTTGGGGATCTTCCTGGATTCAGCGCTGATGCTTGATGCTCAGGTGTTGATGGTGGCCAGGAGAGCCTTTGCACAACTAAAACTCCATTGGCTGCCATTCATTTTCCGGTCCCAATTCAAGGTGCAGGTTATCACCTATAAAACCCTGAATGGTTTGGGACCCATCTACCTTCATGACAACATTTTGGTCTATACACCTGCATGATCCCTTTGATCATTGGGATAGGCCTCAGTGTGACTTGTGGGGTTGAGGAAGAGGGCCTTCTCTGTGGAGGCACCTAGACTTTGAAATTTGCTACCCTGTGAGATTAGGCAAACACCCACTTTGGCACCCTTCAGGAAGAGGCTAAAAACTTGGCTGTTTCGGTGTGCCTTCGAAGATTGAACAAAAAGTCTCTTACCTTGACCAAATCAGTACATAATGTCTTTTGATGCACTTTACCTCCCCCTTCAGTAAATTGAATCCCATTGTTTGTCCCATTCGAACTTCCCATCAAATACATTACCCTACTCATCCATCTCACCCAGGGTTTTAAAATCCTACCTGTTTATTTGGCCCTGCCCACTTGGCTCAATGTCTTGTTATTTATGTTATAATCTGTGTTTATTTTGTATTATCCTTTTGATTTATTTTATTGTATTTATATTTGATGTATTATTTTATGATTTTTTGTTGTATTATTTTGCTCTATTGTAATTCATTGGGCTTGGCGTCATGTTAGCCACCTCGAGCCCCCCTTGGAGAAATGGGGTATTAATAAAATATTATTATTATTATTATTATTATTATTATTATTATTATTATTATTATTATATAAAGCTCTTTGTGAGTGGTGGCTGTGGCTGATTGTTAGTAAAGATGTTAAACAAAGTTGGTGAAAGGATGCTGCCTTGGGATAAACCATTATTTTTCCTCCTCCATCTACTTTTCCTGCCTTGAAACTCCACATAGAAGCTGTGGTTTTCCAGGGGGTCTGGACAGTTTTTGTAAAATCATAGTCCTGGGTAATATGGTAGACTTTCTGCAGCATTTTCCTATGTAGCAACATGTCATAGGCTGCAATAAGGTCAACAAAAATTGTTCTGGTAATGCAATCTTTTTCATATCCTTCCTCAATGTACTCAGTCAGATTAAGAATGGTCTGAAACCTGCTTGTTGTGCAATAAGCTGAAGTTAAATAACAGGTTCTAATCGATTTAATAGCATTTTCTCATATACTTTATATAGATTACATAGGAGCAAGATTGGCTGATAGTTCCTGGTATTTTATATATGGGACTACATTTTACTATACCATTATATATAATGGGACTTGAGCATCCACAGATTCTAGTAGCCATTTTTGAAAAACCCAGTTGATACCAAAGCCCACTGTACTGATAGCCACCAAGAGCCCCTCATTAAGTAGTGTTAAGCAAAAGTTTCTCAGAGCTGTAAAACATCCTGCTATAGCTCCCTATTCAGATCTCTTTTCACTATCTCCTTCCTTCCCTTCCTCCCTCTTAACAAAGGCAAGAGGGCTTTCATACCCAGAAGTGCAGAGCAGTGAGTCTGGGCCTGTTAGTAGACAAGAAACCTGCAAACACTGAGTATTAGGCTGTGGCTTCTGCTGTAATGCATAATAGGTATCCCACCTAAATGCAAATCAAGAATTAATGGAAGTAAATCAGGATTTACCTGCTTACGCTCACCAAGGGCCTGCCGATTAATTGTTTTGCTCAATGGAGTCTGTGGTCCATTTCTGCTCTTCTGAATATCTTTCCCTTCATGTCATATTGCACATAAATATTTCTCATAGCCGGTAAATGTCTTGCCATATCCTTCATTGCAGATAGATCTTGCCTCAGATCATTTTTGAGGAAGTAAATACATTTTTATTAAGTTTTACAGTAGCAGCAGAATGGCTCCTTGCAAAAACAACTGGGATTTGCAGTTTAGTGAGGAAGTGGAGCTTTTTGGTAGGCAAAACTCCATACATGTAAAAAAATGTACAAATCCCAGAATTCCATGGGATACAATAACAATAATTAAAGAGGATCAAAGATCTATAATTACCTGTATAGAAAGAGGATCATTTTTAGTGAAGTCTAAGTCAACAGAAATCCAGGGGCAGGGAAGGTAGGAAGGCATGATTTACCAGTAATACCTGGGCTTTCTATTTTAACATTAATGTTCAGTCCCAAAACTTCTGTCCCTTCTGCAAAGATGGTTGAAATAAAATTTCTGAATTATATGTACTTATTTGTTTAGTAGACTTTTGCCAGTCTCATAGCACAATCCAAAACAGGAAAATAAATATAGAACTGACTGATGGATTTCCCCAGAGCAATCAAAATAACGCCGATGGAGTTGGGCCTATGCTGCTAAAAAGGGCAGTGACCACCTGGAATTAATTAATTTATTATTATTTTACCCCACCCTTCTCAACCCCCCCCCCCCCCGGGGGGGGGGAGGGCTCAGGTCACAATGTGTCCATAGTGTGGGAGAAGACTACAAAAAGCAGGCATATTACAAGGCCATGTCAGGTCAAAGCACACCACAACAATTATAATGATGCTCTAATTTGAAAGTTTACTTTAAAAAATAAAGTAAATCCAGATGCTAATCTGCCATGCCATTGCTCTGACCAACCATGGGTTGCCTACTGTGAATAATTTTTCACTTACCTGTTGTAAAAAAAATGAACCACAAAAGTGGACCCCATAATCCACCGCTCCATAGGCACCAACAAGGGAGCCTGCAATGACCTAAACCTTTCAGCATTCTGGGAGACACATCAGAGGCTTAGGAAGAGATGAATAACAGGGTTTCACTGGCATTATCTGATTGGATTCCTGGGAACATTTCTTCATTCAGTTTGCTGGCTCAGACTCCATTGAGCTGTGCCCACACTAAGTTAACTCCTTTGTTAACTTAGCTGACACCCATTATTCCAGTAGGAAGAGACTCATCCAAAACCATTAACTTTGTCCCAGTTGCATTCCTATTTGCCCACACCCTTCTCCTAAGTGGAACAATAATGAGACACAAACCTTTTATTAAGTTTCCCTCCTGGAGACCAATTGGCAAGAACAACTGACCACTCATCCCAGCCAACGAGCCTGCAGATCCTAGCTGGCAACAATTTGGACCATTATATACTCACGGCAGCAAAAGTCCTTTGTTTCAAATGGCTATCAAGGTCCTAAAAATATTTCTGTATGTTTGCATTGAGGTATGTCGGTTTTTGGAATGCAGACTCCGTTGACATCCACTTTGGACAAAATAAAAGCCTCTGATTTTGCCTTCAACTCACCTGTGTCTTGTTCAACCCTTTGGGAGCTTGACACACAGGGCTCTGAGCCTACAATTCTTGCAATAGCTAAAATCACACGACCTCATACAATGCTATGGTGGACCTCCACATCCCACAAGTTGCCACCAAGTCTACTGGCAGAAAGTTGCACCTGAACAAAGGAATTCAAATTACAAGAAATGTGATTTGACTAAACATTAGAAAGGACTTCTGGTCTTGACAGTAAAAGCTTTCCAACAGCGTGGATGGTGGTGAATTATGCTTGGGAAGTTTTTAAACCTGAGAGGTTTTTAAACCCGAGATTGGTACCAACCTTTTAGGGTTGCTATAGTGATAAGTCTACTGCAATAACGGAGAGTCAGACTAGATGATCATTGGGGTATTTTTTTTTTTGCCTTACATGTTGAAAACCACCTTGTGGGGCGATAGGGCAGTATACAAAAAAGTTTATTATTAATTGTTATTATTTCTTCCAGTTGTTATTATTATTAATTGTTATTATTAATTGTTATTTCTTCCAGTTCTGGGGTTGGATGACAGTGGTCTCACATTCATCAATGTTGCTATCAGTCACTATTGCTGATCACTTCCCCCTTCCCCTCCAAGAATAACCTTACTTGTGGCATCTGAATCAATTCCTCAGAGATCTTGGTATTGCCAGGAACTAACTGGAAGCCGTAACTATTCAATTCACATTTGGCAGGAGTAACACCCAGAATACCCCTATTTGGTATGGAGTGTGGTAGGGGCATATGGTATTCCCAGGAAAGAAATATGACCACTTTTGGTGCTGACAAATGTCATGTGTGTAGCTCACATGGCAAAGGCAGATCCAAAGTGCTCCTCCAATGACCCATGGCATGCTGCTTCCTGGGGAAAAGAGTGCAACCATGCACACTGATAAATGCCACGATGGGTAACAGATGACAGCAAAACCTATTATATAAAATCTGAAAAAGAACAGCATTGCCAACACTTCCTTTTTGTGGCATTACTGATTTCTGGAAGAAACCTTCAAGCAAAGTAATAACATGTAGTAATATTACATGTAATATAAATATATAATTATAATATATTTACATGTAATATAAATATATAACTATAATATATTGCATTACATTATAATATTATAAATATTATATGTATATACAATATATTATATTATATTATTAGAATAGCACAGGAGACAAGGTGGAACTGTCCCCTGGCCCCCTCTCGCTTCACTCTGGCCCAGAGTGACAGCTGGTGCTGGGGAGAGGGATCTCCAGCTGATGGCATATCCCGAAGACAAAGTGGAACTGTCCCCTGGCCTCCCCTCTCTTCACTCTGGCCTAGAGCGACAGTTGGTGCTGGGGGTGGGGGGTGCTGGTATCAATTGTGCATGCCTGAGTGTTTTGGTTTTTTTTGTCATGTCAGGAGCAACCGCTCCTGTTGTGAGAGGATTGGCTGTCTGCAAGGATGTTGCCCAGGGGACGCCTGGATGATTTCTGATGCTTTATCATCCTTGTGGGAGGCTTCTCTCATGTCCCCACATGAGGAGCTGGAGCTAATAGAGGGAGCTCATCCGCCTCTCCCCGGATTCGAACCTGCGACCTGTCCGTCTTCAGTCCTGCCGGCACAGTGCTTTAACCCACTGCGCCACCGGGGGCTCCTGAGTGGTGATCTGAACAGTGTTCTGCCAAAGTCTTTGTGTGCATCTACAATGTAGAATTAATGCAGCTTAGCATCACTTTAACTATCATGGATCAATGCTGTAGAATTCTGGGAGTTGCAGTTTGGTGAGGCACCAGCACCCTTGAGCAGAGGAAGTTCAAGACCTTGTAAAACTGCAGCCTTTGAAACATAATTGGAAAAGAAGCAGGAAAAAAAAACACCTATGTAAGTAAGAAAGTATTAACCTTAGAAAAAAGAAAACAAGTAAGAAGTCTCTTCTGGTAAGCAGTCCCATATTATAGGAGCAATAACTATGAAGTTTCTCTTCTTTGTCTTTGCCAAATGAGTTAGTGATATTATTGGGACAAAAAGAATGCTTTCTTTTTCCAGTAAGAAAGGCATACCTTGCCTTGAAGAGTTGGCAGCGATACTTGGCCACAATCAATAATTTGCTTAATGGAGACGCCCAACATCGTGTATACTCAGAGTGCTTGGGGAACAAGAAACATATGAGCGAGGACTCAGGTCACAGAAGGCAATGTCCCACAGTCTTTGCTTAATAGATTTCAGTGCCATGTCACAACCCAGATGCCATAAAAAAGGAAGAAAGAGTTAGAGTTAAACTTGAACCAGTTGCTAATGTAATCATCCTGGGCTAGATGGTGTTAACAAAGGCATACAAATATTACATCACTCCTTTTGCAGTGTAATTGTGTCTTTTGGTTACCATTGGAGGAGGATGGCCTATTTGCATAATGAAGAAATATCACATGGTTCAGGTGTTGGCATCTGGTGATGGATTTAGCTATGAGTCCTCTAAAAAGCACCTAAACATAGTTTTCTTAGTTACTCCTAAAAACTAGAAAATGAATAGGTACTTTTTAAGGAGGAAATCCTAATCTAACTAACTACATTTTAAGTTTGAGAACTACAAGCCTAAATTGTTGTTGTTTGTGAAAAGCAATTTCCCAAGTTGTGGTCAGCTGTGAGGACTCCTGTGGCTTCCAAAGAGCCAACAGAGATATAAAATGCTGTATGCCATTGGCCTTTGATCTGATTGAGCATACCTTCCCTTATGTTATAATAATAGTAATAATTTTGTTCTTATTTCTTATTTCTTATATGTTCGCAGGGAATAAGTCTCATTCTGATAGCAAAGTAGCCATTAGGGTTATCCTGTTCCATGCAAGAGGTGTTTGTGTATGTAGCAGAAGGGGTTTTTCTTTCTTGCAGAAGATAAACAAAACTGAGGTTCAGAGCTTTGAGTTCAGTACTTGAGCAATTTCTAATTGCTCAACCAGTTACCCAAGCTTTTACTACACAAGATCTGAGATCAATGTGGGGCATGTTGCCACAAAAGCAAAATGAGGACATTGCTCCACTCAGTTAGAAATCTGCCCTGCCGTGAAGGTTTCCTATATTTTCAGCATTGCAGTAACTTAAATGTGGAACTAAGCATTTAGAAATAGAGTTTGGGCATCCAAAGAAGAGGAGCAGACAAAGTTGCCAAAAGGAATGCAAACATATCTAACATGTTTTAGGTGTGAATGAGTCTGGGTTCTAGGTGCAACATTGCCAAGAAATTTGGAGACTGAAGGAAAGTTTCATGCAGGGAAGGAAAATTCTTCTAGGGAGGCCAATGCCCTCTTTGATCTCCACCCCTAGGAACACTGAGACTCTAGCACCAAACGCTGCATTAACTCTTTCACAAGGTCTCACACTGTGTTACAAAATGTCTGCTGCAAGAACTTCTACAAATGTTTACAAAACAGTCACACTGTCACAATTTTCCAGACCACATGTTTTTAGAACCAAATCTTTCTCAATCTCATGCTGCTCATTGTCTGGGCAATAGCATGAAATTGATTGGAACCACACACAGGTTGAATATTCCTTATCTGATACTTGGGACATAATGGAATTTCCTGATTTTGAAATAGCTGTGTTTGCACATACATTCAAAATGAGATATTTTGCAGATGGGATCTATATCTGAACATGAAATTCATTTATATCATATACACCTTGTACAGATAGTCTGAAGGTAATTTTATACTATATATTAAATACTTTTGTGCATAAAATGAAATTTGTGTACATTGAATCATCAGAGAGCAAAGGTGCCACTATGTTAGTAAGCCGTGTGGATAATTTTTGAGTATTTTAGATTTTGGAATTCCAGATAAGGGATGCTCAACCTGGACTGCCTTTGAACATGGTGAATGAAACACCATCAGTGATTCCTTTTGCTAGACAGTGACAGCTGTATCCTGGGCTGTGTCATACCAAGGTTAATCTCAGTGATAGAAACCTGGGGCATCTTGCTTTGTTTATTGAATGGCTAGACTTTTTTCCTGCATGAAGCATGAGTGGGAAAAAAAAAACAATGCCTTACCCACTTCTGGCAAACTCTGGCCAATAGTTCATGATCCTCAGTGCACCCTTAGCCTCTATATACATTTTGTTGACAACCGACTCAATGCTGCCAAATACATATGGTAGTTCAACACCATGAGGAGCCCCAAGCCACTCAGGGCAGACTGAACCAGAGGTGTGGTGAGAGAAGGTATAAGCATACACAAGACTCCCAGCTTCTCAGACCATTACCACAAACTCAGCTATTGGGCAACCAGACATTTGTGTCTGGTTGCTGATGACACGATAAATAAAAATAAATAAGCTATTGGGCACAAAAACCCATATTCGCTAATCACGTGAGACATTGCCAACTTGTACTGTGCAGCTCCCAGATTGTCTTCGCTATACTTCAGAGCCACAGTCTTCACATCTTCAGTACTTGCCTTGAAAATTGTCAATCATTGCAACTTCCAGAAGCTGATCCCAAGAAATCAAGTGATCCTTGACATCATGGTAGTAATACAGCACAAAAGCAGGTGCTTCATCGGAAGTGCCGCCTAAGAGAATCGGATTGACTTGGATGCATTCTCACTGAAGGAGTTTTTCTGAATCCTTGAGCAAAAAGTCCCCATGTTTTTTTTCTTTCTTTTTTATTAGATTATATGAGTAGAGTATAACATTTCACATTCACGTAACAGAAAAAATGGAAAAAGACAAAAACATTCCCACCATTCTGATGTTACCTATATTATTGGCCTTTCCATTTCTATATTTGTCTATCTAGTACTTATATATATCTGCTTTTTTCACCGTCCCTCTCCACCCCGCCCTGCCTTTCCAGGAACAGTTTTACCTCTCTTTTAAATATTATTTTATTATTTCGATCGTGGAGATCGTTTGATTCAGTTCCTTGTTTTTTTCTTTTCCCTTTAATTCTGGCTAAGAAAATAATGTGCATTCTGCTAATCAGAAGGAACTGGTTTTTCTGAACGAAGCAGAGGGGAATGTCTTACCCAGTTCTGGCAAACTCTGCCCAAACTCTTCAGTTGAGCACCTCGGTGTGTTTTTTATTGGCCTCCAATGCTGCCTTAAAGCTTCCAAACAGATAAATGAGTTCAGCTCCATGGGTTGCCTTTGCCCACTCAGGCCAGACAGTGCCAGAGATGTGATGCATGAAAAAGTAAACACGCATAGGACTCTCCGCTTTTCTGATTTGGACAGCAAATTCAGTTGCTGAGTTGTCACCCAAAATCTTCCCCAGCAATCATCTGTCCTCTTTTAACCACTTTTTAGTTATTATAGAATATCATCTTTCATTTTATAAAAAGGAAAATCAGAACAGAGTATCAGTGGTCAATAAGTTGCTAGTTACTCAACTTTAGAAAAAAAACTAAACTAAACTGCTACTCGCCAAGATAATGCAGAATGAAAACCTAATAAATAACTTGTTTTTTATTTATTTGGTGTTTGGCTATGGTTTGGCTATGGTTCAAAGAAATTAGTCAGTCAGACATTTGGAAAGATCTTTGTGGTCATTCCTAACAAGTGGCTAGTTGCAGGTATTTAGGTGTTCCTGATGTCTTTTCACAACAGTCTCTGCTAATGAGGACTGGTCACTCCTATCATCATTCTGTCACCCCAACCTCTTAAAGATGTAGCTTTTAAACCCAAACAGGCAACAGTCAGGCATTTCTTGGTCTCAAGAGAAATGATTTATTTGGAGAAGTAACAAGCAAAGAAAAAAAGGAGGGAAATGGACATAGGGCCTCGTGAGTGCCAAGCAAGCTGGAACAATCAATGATGCACCTACAGTTACCTTTATAGGTAAAATAATGCAAATATGCCCTTTGAAACATTTCTCAGTTAATTTGTAGCATAATTGGTCAAAAGTGCAAAAGGTGAGATTACATCATGCATATCATTAACATCTTAAACTTTCTTGGTGTCCTTTGTTCTTTTAATTAGGGGACACTTTCTGCATTTGCTCATTCTCTTATTTCCATGGCCAAAACTGACTCATCTTAGCAGGAGACTGTTCCTGGCTGTTCCTGGAGAATTTGAGTTCCCAATTGGGAGGGCTATTACCCAGTCTCAATCTTCATTTGATTTCTCTGCAAAAGAAGGGGGGGGGGGGGAAGCAATAGAGAATAATGAGAACTTCTTCAAGTATGGTTAACTAACTAAGAAGACAATCAATCAAAGAGGAATCTACACAGATTCTGGAAAATAAGTGTATCTCTAGACAATATGTCCCCAAAGAATTGTAGGAAGACTCCCATCTTGCCAAGCATGTTGGGATTGTTTTGGTATCACCTTCCTTCAGTACCAATGATATACACATTGCAGATATATAATTCCTCCGCAGGGAAGAGGGACTTAGCTCAAATCGTTGGTGTAGTTTGTATAAATTTGTTATGCAGCCTTGTACTTTATCCCATGCACTAATCCCATGGTTACAGCTCTGTACTTTTCCCATTCCCTGGCCCTATTGTTTATAGCCTGGCTATGTTTACATTAGCTATTGCCACTGACAGATGTACACTATTTTATTCTGAGTTTTATCTTGTTGTTACATGTTTATATGTTTTATTCAATTGTATTTTATATTGTGTTTTATGTTATGTCTTGTTTTAGGCACTTTGTGTAAGCTGCCCCAAGTCCCTTTGGGGAGATGGTGGCGGGATATAAGAATAAAGTTATTCTTATATTACTTTCTAGGTTATCTAAGGAAAAACAAAAATTTGTGCTGAAATTCCAAGAGCTAAGCCATGATATTCAATTGGCTATTCCTATATGTAGACAATACATTGTATCCTTCTTACAGGAAAGAGAGGTTGGAGCAGAACCTACAAAGAGCATTGCGAGCTGGATGGACTGCTTATACTGTAATTGCTGAGTAACCTAGAGGGATTCACAGCTCACAGCCTTTTACAAGCCTATAAACAATTATTAGTTTCTATTAACTACTGATTATTATTATTATTATTATTATTATTATTATTATGTTTATTTTTATCCCACTTTTTTCTCTTCACAAGGAGACTCAAAGCAGCTTACATTAAATACATTTCAATACAATTTAAAATTTACAAATAAACATTAAAACAGAATTAAATATCATTGGTGTTTTTTAAAAATCAGTTAAAATCCATGAAAACGTATTAAAAACTAAAAACGACAGCACCCTCTTAACTGATCTTTAAAACCTTCTTTAAAAGCCTGCCTGAACAAAAAAAGTTTTAGCCTGCCACCAGAAGGGCAACAGGGAGGGGGCCATTCTGGCTTCCCTGGGAAGAAGCGAGTTCGAGGGTCAAGGGGCAACCACCAAAAAGGAAGGCCCGCGCTCTCATTCCCACCAACCAAGCTTGAAAGGGAGGTGGGACCGAGAGAAGGTCCTCTCCTGAAGGGGATCTCAGGACCTGGGCAGGTTTGTTCAAGGGGATGTGGTCAGCCAAATACAAGAAAAGATTGGACCTGAAATGTCTAAAGGTTATAACCAGCACTTCGAATTGTGCCTGGAAATAGACTGGCAGCCAGAGGAGCTGCTGAAACAAGGGGATTGTCCACTCCCTGCAGCCAGTCCCAGTGACCAACCTGCCTGCAGTTTCCAAGCACTCTTCAGAGACAGCCCCATGTAGAGAGTGTTACAGTAATCCAGATGGAATATAATTAAGGCACATACCACAGTGGCCAAATCTGGGCTCTCAAAGAATGGATGCAGATGGCACTCAAGTTTTAATTGTGCGAAGGCCCTCCTGGCCACTGCAGATACCTGGCCCTCCAGTTCAGTGCTGAGTCCAGGAGGACCCCAAAACTGCCGACCTGTGCCTTCAGGAGGAGTGTGATCCCATCCAGCACAGGCTGGATCCGTATTCCCAGATCTGCCTTCCGATTGACGAGGAACACCTCTGTCTTGTCTGAATTAAGTTTCAATTCGTTTGTCCTCATCCAGTCCATTACTGATGACAGGCATTGGTTTAGCTTGCTTGGCATTAGGTGGAAAGGAGTAGGAGAGTTGGGTGTCGTCTGCATATAGGTGGCACCAAACTCCAAAACTCCTGATGAACTTTCCCAGCAGTTTCATGTCTATGTTAAACAGCTTGTGGGAGAAAATTGACTCCACAGGACAATGGCCGGGGGTTTGAACAGGAACTCACCCCTCCCCCCCCCAGCACCACTTTCTGGGTATGGCCCTCCAGAAAGACAGTGCCTTCCAGTTCCATCCGAGTGAGATGACACAGAAGGATACCATGACCAATGGTAGAGAAGGCTGCAGAGAGAGCCAGGAAAACCACAAACACACATCCCACCCCTGTCTAGCTCTCTGTGTAGGTTATCCACCAAGGCGACCAAAGCTGTCTGAAACCAGATTGAAATGGATATAGATTAATCAATTTCATCTGGAAGTTAAAGTGATATCAAACTCCATTATTTCTACAGTGTAGAGGCATCTCAAATCAGTGGAATAATGGTGACAGTTGATACAATTCAGAAATCCCCTCTCCTATTCATGTACATGAGACAGACCATCACATATCACAATTAGATTAAAGAGATAGCTAATCCAATGCAAACTGAACTTATTAGAAACAGCAATGGCATGGCCCACAGAGGTATGCAATATAAGGCGAAAAACTGTACTTGATGCTGAGCATCTCTCCCCCCCCCCCAAGTATTTATAGTTCCCCAAGGGCTGAGCGATGGATTCTGTTATTGATCAACCCAGCGCCCATCACTGGACTTCTGCCTTTTCTTATTGACTCTCTGCTTCATGAACTGAACTGTTTGCCACATCCCTGGCCACGAACTTCCTTCTGGTGCTTGCCTTGAAATGCAAGCAGCCTCCGTTTCCACGCACCTTTGCCAAAGGACTATGAGATCTCCAGTTTGCGTTATAATAAAGATCCAATATTGTAATAAACTTTGCTTGGGATGGGGATGGGATTGCCTTATGAAATATATATATGAAGTATATGAAATGTATGTATGTAATGAAATATGTATTGAAATGAACTCTGGTTCCCCTCCCTGCTTCCCCTCTTTGACCCTTGCCCCAAAAGGAATGTGACCTAAGGATTACTGTGACAGGGAGGAAACCCTTTGTCCTCCCGAAATGGTTCATATTTACATTTGCATGGGCCGTGCGGTTGATCCCCTTCTCAAACTAACTTTCAGAGCAGACAGTAAGGGCGGGAAGGGTCAACCAAAAACTCAGGAAGAAAAGACTGATTGTATCATTTTTTGGTATTTGTTGATCCCCCTTGTTTACAAGGCCCTGAGGTCCAAATACCATCAAAAGCTCCTTTTCATACTTCCCCCCAAATCCCATCACAGACCAGGAAACTCATTGTTCTCCTATCTAACACCCCGCCGTGTAAAAAACAAAGCCACACAGATGCCCCAAAGGCTGTCATTTCCTCAGTCTTTGTCAGGCTTCGTCCCGCCTCCTGGCTGCCGATTGGTCCATCTTCCAAGGCGCTAGGAAGGCACTGATTGGCCTCCCAGAGGCAGCGGAGCCCGCTGATTGGTCCAGAGGCGAGGCATGCTGCCAAGCCTCCTCCCAGCTGTTCCGCGGCCAGCCAATCAGCCCGAAGCCGGCTGACAGAGGGTGGGCGGGAGTTTTGAAACTGTTTTCCTTTGTCTGTGTACTATAAAAATGCTTGGAAATTCTGTAAAATCATGCTTGCAGTGGAATGATTCCTGCAATGCATCTGATCTCAGCTGAATCACAATAAACCTCGGTTGCTGAAAAACTTCTTCCACTTGGATGAGGCATTATTATTTGTAATATTTTTACTCTTTGGATTGGCTCTCGCTGGCCTCACCAAGGGACCCAGAGCCCTTTAGGCGCGGTCCTCGGGCTTCTCCCTGAGAGGAGACCCCACTAAAAAGCAGCTCGATATCATACTCACTTGGATTTGCAGTATGTGTTTTAAACAGATTGCAGTGTCGAGTAGGTGATACCGGCATAAACGGTGCTGGTTGAGTGCTAAGATTGAAGAAGTTCTGCACTGTAGGATTATAAAGTGGCCACTCCACTTTTTTCTTGTCTGATCCTGTGGGTTTGCTATGGGGGAAATAATAATACATTTATCACCCGCAGGCTATAATGTTGCACGTAAACTCTGGAAGAGATTTCAAAGTTTGGATGTTTTTTGGGGTTTGAACAAGTAACAACAGGGAGTGCACAAAATTCTTCAGATGCAAAAACAAATCAAGCTAAGTTTTTTCTTCCTCTAGATGGTTGTCCGCTGTGGCAACAGAGTACAAGAAAAGATTGGCCTTTGGTATGATCCAGCAGACTCTTTTTTATATTCTCACTAATGACATACCCTATAGCCGTCCCATTTTCATAAAGACCGTCTTGATTATTCTCCAGTCATCTCACTTTTTCGATGCTTTTTAAAAGTCCCAGTTTCTCTCTCTTCCTCCTATCTATCTCCACTTGTTTTCAGTCTACTTCAGTCATTTCAAATTGAATTAAATCTGAATAGTTAGTGCTAAATTACCTCCAAAAGAGGCAAAATCCTGCTTTTCCTGGTAAGCTTGGTAAGCTCTCCTAGTTTGTCTGTTGACACCTTGACCACATTCTGATGTTGTTTGACCACACATGTCCTGGTTTGCATATGTGAAACATATGCAGCTGAGTTGAAACCCACCCTCCTACTCCCATCCTAGCATTATTCCCACTCCAAACTTCCTTCATCCAGTACCAGCTGCACCTTTTAGAAAATCTTTAGTCTCATACTATCTGTGTTCTTTCTTCGACCCTCTTAGGTTTCACTCTTTTTTTTCCTGGCAAGATTTTCATTCCCATCCCAACCACTAAGCCCTTTCAACCTCTTCTAGTCTAACCGTTCTTTTCACCTTTATCAGAAACCAGGAGTAATTTTCCTGCTCTCCAGGTTGCCATATCTTATGTTTTCAAATCAAGTCAACTCATTAGCATATAATGCAACCTATTTTCTTAATTGCACATCAGAACATGAGTCACGAGAAGATCTGAACAATGCAACAACAGTTGTTAGGTCAGTCTTATATTCACAAAAGTGAATTAGTTGAGTCAGAGTGATGGAAGAGACCAGAAGGGTTACCCAATCCAATTCCCATCTGTCACACAGCGACACAAAATCAGACCAATCCTGACAGATGGCCATCCACCCTCTGCTTAAGAAGACTTCACCACACTCCCAGGAAGCATATTCCACTGTCCAACAGGTCTTACCATCAGGTCGTTCTTCCTAAGATTAAGGTGGAACCTCTTTTCCTGCAATTTGAATCCTCTGTTCAGTGTCCAATTCAAATTTTTCCTCTCCTCAATATGACATCCTTTTAAATATTTAAAGATGGATATCATGTCCTCTCTGAGACATCTTTTCTCCAAGCTAAACCTACACAGTTCCCTAAGCACAATAGTGGGCCACAAGACATAAAATAAGGTCCACAGCTCTAGATTATTAAATATGGCTTTCTGTGGATGACCAGATGGCAGCTACTGGATGGCATATGTTATGCATCAGAAACTAGAGCTGATGTGGCCTCTCCAATGCAATTTTCTGAATCAGCACCCCAAATAACCAAATCGAATCTAAAGTTGACCGAAAACTGATTCATAGTACCCTTTTGGTACTAATGTTGGAGAGTGGTTCCTGGTCAAAGTGGCCCCTGGTCAAAAAAAGGTTGGGAACCACAGCATAAGCATTTCATGTGATGATATGCTGATCTGGATCTAGAAATGCTCTGATAACAACACTAGCCTTTGTCTGGATATGAAAAGGACTTCTTTGCAGATTCTTGCATGAAGCAATTACCCACTATTATTATTCTAAATATCGTCATCGATATCTTGGTTTTTACTGTTGTTGTTGTTATTTGAAACACAACAAGATGAGTCCACAGCAGTCACTCTGCTGGCTGTTGAGTTGGATCACATGTCGGACACTTCCCAAGTGTCTAGGACTGTGTGATGTATCGACGAATAATGCGTGCAGATCCCAGGAAGGTGGCCTTCTGCAGCTGGCAGATGGTAATTTTGTCAGCGCCGATTGTGTTTAAGTGCAGGCCAAGGTCTTTAGGCACTGCACCCAGTGTGCCAATCACCACTGGGACCACCTTGACTGGCTTGTGCCAGAGTCTTTGCAGTTCAATCTTTAAATCCTCATATCATGTCAGCTTTTCCAGTTGTTTGTCTCAGTCCTGCTGTCACCTGGGACTGCGACATCAATGATCCATACTTTGTTTTTTAACTTTATTGTGAGGTCAGGAGTATTATGCTCCATTATTATTATTTATTCATTTCTATCCCACTTTTTCCTATGGGTGGGATTCAAAGTGGCGTACAAAAGTTTAAAAACTATGAATCAGGTATTACTGATTGGTGTTTTAAATCATCAGTATTTTAGATTACGTCTAAGAATCCAGGAGTCAATGAGATTTCAACCCAGGAACTGCCTGTAATCTACTTTACTTGGTTCTGATCTGATCGAGATACACAAAGTATGACATTGCTTTTTGCTTTCCTTTGCACAACAGTTAACAAAAGCTGAGTGCTCTCGCTGCCCAAATTTCTTCTATCTGTGGCTTTCCCAAGTCAAAATCCGATTCAAATGCATTTTATAATTTGATGTAAGGTACTGAAAAGCAGTTCAGATGTTCTTGGTCTCCACTTTCGAGCGATTCAAACCAATAGTGAGGAATAGGAATTGAATTTCAATATAATCTAGTGAATTGCATAGTTTTCATTCCCGCAATTAAATGTGGATGATAGCCTACAACAGATGGAATCCACATAATTCCTTTCCCACCCTCAGCATGAGGGTGGGGGCCCTTCCACACAGCCCTATATCTCAGAATATCAAGGCAGAAAATCCCACATTATCAGAGTGTGGACTCAGATAACCCAATTCAAAACAGATATTGTGGGATTTTTTGCCATGATATTCAGGGATATAAGGCTGTGTGGAAGGACCCTGGGAAAGCACTTTGCTCCCTTACAGTGATTGGATGAGTAGGTTCTAAATAGGCTTCACTACACGAAATAGGAATAGGTACACATTGGTGTGCACCTCAGGAAATAGGGGACAGTGGTTCAATTCTCCACCCGTTTACCTAATGAAACAATTGGGTGGGTTGTATCCTGGGACTGTGGTGTTTTGGCCATTGTTTGAGGAGGAGTTGGTCTATGATGGCCACTGCCTTGTTCTATTACACAACAAATTGAAGTGTAAGTTCTCATTCAAGTTCATGTACAAATTCAAGATGATGTTCATGCCCTCAAATTAACTGGAAGATCACACAGAGATCGATTGGTAACCTATAATAAACGTTGCCCATAGTTAACGCACAATGTTGTGTTGTCTCGTGATTTCACTGGTGGGAAAGCAAAGCCATTAAATTAAATACAAACAAGAGTATCCCTCATTTGGATTGACTGACCCAAGAAGTCTTTGATTACATCCTTTTCAGATTTTGGAATACCTGTATTTGCAAATATATAAATAATGTGACAAAATTCATTCCTACTTCCTATACTACTGGCTTCCCTGGGAAGGAGGGAGATCCAGAATCGAGGGTCAGCCACCAAGTAGAATAGAATTAATCAAGTTTCTGGAAAAAGACAAAGGAGAGTGAGGAAAAAATGCCTTACCCAGTTCTGGCAAACTCTGCCCAGTATCGCATTATCCTACGGCTGAGCACTGCCTCTGCTTCTGTATGTGTTTTGTTGGCATCCAATGCTGCCTTAAAGCTTCCAAACAGATAAATGAGTTCAGCTCCATGAGGCGCCCCGGCCCACTCAGGCCAGACAGTGCCAGGGGTATGATGTGTAAAAATGTAAACATACACATGACTCCCAGTTTTTCTCATCTGGGCAGCAAATTCGGCTGCAGGACATACAAAGAAATAATCACTCAAAAATTGAACCAAGGCTGAACGGTACTTTGCTGGGCCATGACTCTCCTCACTGTACTTCTGGGCCACTGCTTGAATATCTTCTTCAGTTGCATTTTGCACTATAATTCTTAATACTTTCATAAATTGTTCCTGAGTGATTTTGCTGTGATTGCTTAAAAGAGAAAGAAAATCGACCAAGGAAGCTGCTTCATCTGAGGTGACACCAGTAAGAACTGGTTTGATCTGCACATGCTGAGAATTCAAAAGACTCTGAGGATCATCAGTCAAAAATTCCCCATCTACTGTCGGTGCAAAGACAGGATCCAGAATAAACTTGTTTTTCAGAAACAGAGCTGTTTCGTGCTGAGGAAATTCCATTGCATTTTTGTCCCGAAGACAGCTCACAATTTCATTTTCATTGCCTTTTCCACATCCCATCAGCTGACTAAGTTCAAGGGATTTATTCTTGGCATTCTCAGGACTCAACCAAGAAAAAGGAACTCCACTCTGAAGCACAGCTTTGGCAAAAAGAGGCTCACTTTTGGGTGAAAGGAGATGGAAGCCAACAGAGGCTCCTCCAGCACTATGACCAAAAATCGTCACCCGATTTGGATCTCCACCAAAGGCTAGTGCATTCTCCTTGATCCAGGTCAGGGCCAGGTGTTGATCCCATAGACCCATGTTTCCTGGGATGGCTGGTGGCAGAGAAAAGAAGCCCAGAGACCCAATGCGGTAATTCATGGAGGCCACAATGACATTCTCTGTCACAGCTAAAAAAGCTCCATTGTACAAGTCCAGGGAACTTGTACCTGCAACAAAGCCCCCTCCATGTATCCAGACAAGAATGGGAATAGTTACAGAGGGCTGCGTATGGGGCACCCAGATGTTGAGAAAGAGACAATCTTCTGAAAGGGGCCTATTGGGATTCCACAATTTTGCCTCAAATGCTTGAGATAAAACAGACTGAGAACATGCATTTCCAAAGTTGGTGGCCTTGAAGATTTGCCTCCATGGCTGATGTGGAAGAGGCTTCTGGAATCGCAGTTTCCCCAAGGGAGGCTTTGCATAGGGGATGCCAAGATAAGCTCTCACAGTGCCAGAGCCCACGGTAAGACTTCTGCCCTTGATCGGACCACTGCTGGTGTCCACCACAAGGTCATCTTTGGAGGCAGCATTGGAGGCCAGTGAAAACAGGATGAAGAGGGAGCATGATATGGAAGAAGCAAGACCAAGCATTGTAGCAACTAGAAGAAGAAAGATCTAAGTGAAATAACAATACATACAAAGGAAGCCCTCTTCCATTCTCACTCAGTGGGTAGCCATGTTCAGATTGTCAACTCCAGTATATTGATATCATTTTTACAATAAACACTGCCAAAGGTATGCAATATAAAATATTGGTGCTGATACACTCATACAAATACGCATACAATATAATATAAAACAAAGTGTTTTGTATTAAATATTAAAATACACCATTTAAAATAACACAATTTAAAACCGTCCTAGCCATCTGCATCAAATCCAATTGGCCCTGTCATCTTTCCCATTGTCGCTTTATTGCCCTGTCCCAAAAGCTTGGTCCCACAGCCAAGTTTTTACCATCCTTCTAAAGGACAGGAGGGAGGGGGCCGACCTGATCTCACCAGGAAGGGAGTTCCATAGCCGGGGAGCAATCACCGAGAAGGCCCTGTCTCTCGTCCCCACCAATTGCGCCTGTGACAATGGCGGGACAGAAAGCAGGGCCTCCCCAGAGGATCTTAATCTCCGCGATGGTACATAGAGGGAGATGCGTTTGGACAGGTAATTTGGGCCGGGGCCATTTAGGGCTTTATAGGCCAAAGCCAGCACTTTGAATTGTGCCCGGTAGCAAACTGGCAGCCAGTGGAGCTGGCGTAACATGGGAGTTGTATGCTCCCTGTATGCCGCCCCAGTTATTAACCTGGCTGCCTCTCGTTGGACTATTTGAAGCTTCCGAGCAGTCTTCAAAGGCAACCCCACGTAGAGTGCATTGCAGTAGTCTATTCTAGATGTAACAAGAGTGTGGACCACTGTGACCAAGTCTGACTTCCCAAGGTATGGGCGCAGCTGGCGCACAAGTTTCAATTGTGCGAACGCTCCCCTGGCCACTGCTGCAACCTGGGATTCCAGGCTCAGTGATGAATCCAGGAGAACTCCCAAGCTGTGAACCTGTGCCTTCAAGGGGAGTGTGACCCCGTCCAGCACAGGTTGCCACCCTATATCCTGTTCGGCCTTGCGACTGACCAGGAGCCTCTTCTATTTCCTCTTCAGCTTTACTTGCTCTCAAACTTTTACTGTAATATGTATTATGATGTTTTATTGATTGTATGTAATATTATGGTTGGAAACCGGTCTGAGTCCCTCAAGAGAGGTGAGAAGGCCGGTATACAAAATTTTTAAATAAATAAATAAGTAAATAAATTACCCTCATAGGAATGTTGCTGTTTTTATAGACAAAGCAGCATTCTCCTAGTACAGATTTCTCTCTCCCCATACCTTTCCCTATTATTGATAGCATTTATCACTCACCTTTTCTTTGGTTTACTCTGATCAGCTGCTATCGCAGCCTCTTCTATTTCCTCTTCAGCTTTACTTGCTCTCAGACTTTTTCTCAGCTCCCTGACTCTCAGTCTAGTCAAGACCAGAATGAACTGTTGTCTCTTTCAGGCAGCCTTCTCTTTTTTGCAGAGACTTTTATAACCCATGTTACTAATGAGGAAGACACCAATACTGGAAAGACTGGGGAAGGAGGGGAGGGTGATTAGTAGCTGCCTTTTAGGAAAAACCTGCTAACCTGGTTGTACTTGTTGGGGATGAGTGGAGGAAGAAGAAATCCAAAAAGTTACATTGGGACTATTCTATGGGGAAATTGAAGGGAAGCATGGAAGGGAAGAAAGAAGTAAGCGACAGCAGAGATAGACAGAGGGAGGGAGGGAGGTCAAATACGACATAGGGGCAAAATGAGATTAGTGCTCTTCCAAATGGGAATTGTTCCTCACTATGGAGTTTTCCATAAATGTATTCTTGCAGAGTGTTAGGCACGGGACTTCTCTGGCTGAGCAGTTTAAAGGTCCTTCCCTAAACTACAAACCCCAGAATTATGCAGGAGGTAACAACTGGCCCTAAAGTAGATTGATGCTCTAGTGCAGACATGGGCAAACTTTGGCCCTCCGGGTGTTTTGGACTTCAACTCCCACAATTCCTAACAGCCAATAGGCTGTTAGGAATTGTGGGAGTTGAAGTCCAAAACACCCGGAGGGCCAAAGTTTGCCCATGCCTGCTGCAATGTGAGGAAGTCATTATTTGTTGTGTATGCATGTTCTTCATAACAATTCCTGACTTTTTCTTCTGGTTGCCTGAACTGTTTCTAAATGTTCTGTGAATGTTTTTGTAATTCCGGCAATTTCAGAAGTAATGAAATTTTACTGTGGGAAAAGAAGCTATTCTACTTTGGTCAGATGTCACCTGAAATCTTTGTCCAGTTCTGGACATCACAATTCAAAAAGTCTGTTGTGTAGCTGAACCAAATCCAAAGGACAACCAAAATGATCAAAAGTTTGGAAGCGAAGTCCTGTGAAAAATGCCTGATGGGTATGTTTAGCTTGGAGAAAAGAAGGCTGAGAGGAGACATCATGACCATCTTCTAAATATCTGAAAGGATGTCATATTGAGGAAGGGGTAAGCATGTATTCTGCTGTCTAGAGAATAAAAACTCAGCAATGGATTGAAATAGCAGGAAAAGATATTCCACCTAAACTAGTGGTTCCCAACCTGTGGTCTGTAGACCACCAGAGGTCCACAAAAATGAAAATATGCGGCAACGGGAGTGACCGGTCTAGTGAAACCCCCTTATAGTGCTGAGGCAACAGGGATGTCGGGAGGGGCTGACTACCTACGAAAGATTAACTACTACCACATCAGCACTAGATTATTTAATATGGTTTCTGTGGCCGAGCAGATGGCAACTACTGGATGGGATATGTTCTGTATCAGAAACTAGAGCTGATGTGGTGTAGCCAATGCAATTTTCTGAATCAGCACCCCAAATAACCAAACCGAATCTAAAGTTTACCAAAAACTGATTGTAACCCTTTTGGTATTAATGTTGGAAGATGGTCCCTGGTCAAGTGATCTCTGGTCAAGTGATCCCTGGTAAAAAAAAAAATGTTGGGAACCACTGATCTAAACAATAGGAAGAACTTCCTGACAGTTGGTGCTGTTTGCCATTAGAATATGCTACCTGGGAGGATGGCAGAGTCTCCTTCTCTGGAGGTTTTGAAGCAGAGGCTGGATAGAGTGCTGATTGTATTTTCTCACATGGCAGGGGATTGGACTTGATGGCCCTTGTGATCTCTTCCAACTCTTGGATTCTAATCCTTATTACAGGACAATGTCCCTTTTTGCCAAGAGATTCCTGGGAAGGTAGGAAATAGAAGGTCTTGAAAGAGAAGGAACACAAACTGAGGTAATTATCACATGAGGGTTGGCACACATGTTTGTGGCTTGTTAATGAGTGTAAATGTTACTTATCATATGACATTTTTTCAAAGCAGGGGCATTCCAGTTTTCCCCTTATTCTTTGGCCATACCTTTTATAATATTGGGAAACCTATGACAAGCTTCCTGAAAGCACTTTGTTCCAGTGTTGATAATGGTGTGATACATCATTAGCATTGCAGCAACAAGATTGGGAGAATTCACATGAGTTGTGGGCATGTCATCAACATCACATTTCTATGCTTCACTTCTCTGTTGTTGTTGTTGTTGTTGATAATAATAATAATAATAATAATAATAATAATAATAATTTTATTCTTGTATCCCACCACCATCTCCCCAAAGGGACTCGGGACAGCTTACATGGGGACTGTGTTGTTGCTGCTGCTGTTATGTTTATTTATACCCTGCTTTGTCTCTCTTTGGATTACCCTTTGAAGGGGCACATTTAACTTTCATTGTGATGTTGTGAGCTGTATATTTTCACCTATAGGAACCCCTTGTTGTGTGGCACTCACAACACCACCTCCTGGCATCATAAACTAATTTTTGTAAAACTGGTAGTTGCAATATCCGTATTATCATCCAATATATTACAACAGGATGTGCTGAAAAATGTATGTGTTCATAGCCACTCAGAATGATGTTACTGAGCAATTGTGAAGTGATACAATAATGTGAACATGAAATAATGGACACTCACAATAATAAAATTCCATAGTTCTTTTGGTAACATTTTGCTTTACCAACAAAGGGCAAAGCAATGATTCTGAGAAGTTATCTACAGGGTGATGTACAATCCTATCTATATTTTGAGAGCACTGTTAACAGGGCAGTGTGATAGAAACAATGGCTTTGCCAACATGTTCTCAGTTTCTACTAGGATGGGGGGATGGGGATGTGGTGGTGGTGGGATTGGGGAAAAATACTTGTATTTTGACTGCTGAATTTTGAAGATTGTATGTTTCTGTGTGTGTGTGTGTGTGTAGAATAAAACATTTTTTTAAAAAAGCTGCTCCTCATAGGGCTTGTTCTCCAAACCTTTGATCATTTTAGTCATTATTCTCTGGACACATTCCAGCTTGTCAAATATCATAACTTACATCAAAGAAAGCTGAAAACATTTGCAAGTGTACAACTTTTTAAATGCTTTTATTAAGATTCAAAGTATTGACACAACTAAACAAAAAGAAAAACATAATTATACCATTACACAGAAAAATGTATGCGCACATTCTATCATCCATCTAATGAAGATCAAATCATTTTTAAATGATATTAGAGTCTCTGCACATTCCTGTAATCAAAAAGAAGATTCTTCCAAAAGGTGATTCAAATTTTTCAGTTATTTCTGGAATTTAATGCATTAGCCAACATGGTATAGTAATTTGTGTATTGAACCATGAGAGTGGAGACTACGATGCAATTCCCAGCTCAGCAATGGAAACTTAATGGGTGACCAGGACAAGTTACACAAACTCATCCCTGTAAAATAACATAATAGGGTCATCTTAGGGTTACCATAAGTCACAACAACAACAACATATTTCTTCCACTGAATTGTTACCCTAACCACTCTAAGATTGCATATTGATCTCAGTGTTTCAGCCGATACCACACAAGCATGATGCAATTGTTTTGTAAATTATTAGTTTCAGCTGTAAAATCCAGGCCTGTAATTGTCTTGATAGTAGTTAGTTACAGTCATAATTTAACATTGTTTTGCCAGAAGACAGTACAACCAAACATGAGTATCTGTACCACTTCAATTTTTATAACACCAACAAAGTAAATAAGCATCGATTGTTCCCCTTTGGATTATTTCATACACAGTTCTTTTCTATATTGAAGATTGTGAGTTTTCCAAACAAAGTATAATCTCTATACAGGTTCATTCTTCCAATTACTTTCAGTTGCTTCTTGATTGTAACTTCAGTCTGTAGAGACATAAGAAAATGGGTATAATTTCATTCCTTCAAATTTATTAATATTTGCTCTGAGAACAGTAAAATCTGCAAATTAACCAAATCAAATACTTCTCTTTGAAAACACATACTACTAATAATTGGGCAAAGGGGAAATATGTAAAAACAAAATCAAATTGTCCAAATGCATCTCYTCTTATTAATCTATTAGAACTTTAAGKTCTTCTGGGGTGGYCCTGCTCTYGGTCCCACCTTCTTYGCAAGCCCGACTGGTRYGGAYRARAGACWGGGCCTTCTCTGTRGTGGCCCCTTGGCTGTGGAACTCCCTTCTGGGTTTTAGGAAAAAGCTGGAGACTTGGCTCTGCGCACAAGCATTSAAAGAATAMGTTACTATGKTTTTGGCACWGTCTGGATTAAGGATTATGAGCAGAGKTATGGATGWATGGAACTATGCACTTTATATGCTTTTTAAATTTTATATACYGATGTATGTTTTATTGCTTAATRTTAATTGTTTTTAACTRTTTAATTTTTATTGTTAGTACTRGTTTTTACYGRCATTGAATTTTTGCCAGAATTGTAAGCYGCCTTGAGTCCCTTTGRKTGAGAAAGGCGGGATWGAAATTAATTGAAATAAAKAAATAAATAAATAAATAAGTGATGCTTATACTGAATGGGTCTTCAATMAAWCAAAAATATTTATTTTATTTTTGAAAAAAGATTTTGGCCACTCCTAACTCCATCTTGATTGCAGCAAACACCACYATGCAAATCATASAAAAATTAAAAGCCCRTTACAAGACATATGATGATGATGATGATGATGATGATGATGATGGTGATGATGATGATGATGATACTTTATTCATATTCTGCCCTATCTCCCCAAGGGAACTCAAGGTGGATTCCAACATATAAAGGCAAATATTCAATGCCACCATAGAACAAACAAGTACCAACATAATAATCACAGAAAATCACCACATATGAAAACAACATTAGAACCTAACATCAATAAATAAAACCAAATGTAATCAAACAAAATTATATAATGACATAAAATCTGAGCATAAAACATCTATATTGATTTACAAAAGCCAAGTAGAGTTTAAGTTGTGTGGCCAGTGATAGTAACTGGGCCAACTTGGACTAGCAGAGCCCGGATACAATAATAGTTCTCCCCCTGGTAGTGGTAGTGATCTCTCTTTGCCTAATCCTCCTCCTCTCCATATGCTTGTGAACAAAAGTCAGTCTTCAGTTGTTTTTTGAAGGAGAAGAGGAAGGGTGCTAGCTTTATTTATTTAGGGTGGGAGTTACAGAGGTGGGGGCGAACACGGAGAAGGCCCTCACATTCTCACCAGCCATACTTAAGATGGGGGTGGGACCAAGGGCAGAGCTTCCTCCGCTGACTGCAGTGCCCGAGTTGCTTTGTAAGAGGAGATGCGATTGGACAAGTAGCCTCTACCTGAGCCTAATATGAAGATAGCTAATCCAACGCAATTGATCTTATTAGAAACATCAGCATCATGACCCACAAAGACATGCATCATATAATGGAGCTGGCCTCACTTTGATTTGTAGCACGTGTTTTAAAAAGACCACAGTGTCGAGCTGGCGATACCGGCATCACCTGAGCTGGCTCAGTGTTAAGATGGAAGAAGTTCTGCTGTGTAGAACTGTAAGGCAGCCACTCCACTTCTTTCTTCTCTGATCCTGTGGGATTCCTGTTGAGGATAAAACAATATGTTTATAACCAGCAGGCTCTAATGTTGCATGCAAACTCTGGAAGAAATGGTGGAAGACATTACAAAGTTTGGAGGTTCTTTTAAGTTTGAACAAGGAACGTGAATAGAATTCTTCAGGGTGCAGAAAAAAGGGAGCTAGCTTTTTTCCTCTCAAAACCAATGCAGCCTGGTTAGCTGCTGTGAGAAAAGAGTGCTAGAAAAGACTACGCTTTGCCATGATCCAGCAAAGTCCTATTTATGTTTTCCGTAATTTGACAGGAACTGTCTCGATTACACTTCGGCCATTTCACTTTTTCAGATACTTTTTAAAAGTCCCAGTTTCCCTCTTCTACTCTCACTATTTCCTTTCTTCTCAGCTCATTTCAAGAGGTGCAAATTAAGTTCAAGATGCAAAAGGAATTTGTGCTATATTATCTCAACCTTCCCAGTAGACACTAGTAAAGGCAAACTGCTGCAGCCTCTCCTGCTGCATCCATTTATATCTGTGGAACATATATGTCCACCCATGTATAATGAATGTATTCAGCTGGAGCAGAGGGAAAACCCAGAATCCTATTCCCATTCAAATAGTATTATTCCTCCAAGCTTCACTCAGCCAGTACCAGCTTCACCTTTTTGAAAGCCTTTTGTCCCACACCATCTGTGTCCTTTCTTCAACCCTCTTGTCTTGTACACTTTTTCTTCCTGGCTAGTTTTTCATTCTCACCCCAACTACCATGTCCTTTCAGCCTCTCCCATCCTAACTGTTTTCTTCACCTTTATGAAGAACCAGGAGTGTTTTTCCTGCTCTCAGGGTTGCCATATCTTAAATCTTTAAATCCAGTTGCCTCATTTGCATATAGTGAAACCTATTTGCTCAATATGCCAGTCAGGACATGAGTCAAAAGAGGATTTGATCAATGCACAAATGATGGACTAGCCCAGTTTTCCAGCCATTGAAGTGAATCAGTTGGATTACAGTATCATAGTGTTGGAAAACACAAAAAGGCCCACCTAGTCCAACCCCTCTCAGCTCCTCCAAGCTTATTTTTCTCCCAACTAAACCTATCCAGTTCCCTAAGACTTGCATAATCTCTGATTTGGATCTAAAAATACTCTGGTAACAACACCCGACCTCTTGTCTGCATGCAAAAAGGACTTCATTGCGAATCTTTGCAGGAAACACTGCTACTTCTGATCTCATCATCATAATCAAACATCTTGGTTTTTACTATCTACCAGATATTACTGACTAATATTTTGTACCAGCAATATTTTGGATTCTGTCCAGGAGTCAAAAGGTCCATGCAGACAGGCCAAAAATACGGGACCTGGGATTTTTACCAGAGGCATCCAAACGCCACCTCCGGTAAATACAAATTAGTTTGGAATACCCTAATTCGTGTACACTGAACCAATGTATAGCTATCTCAGGCACCAATGTGGATAATTTTGTCCAATGGAGTATTTCAGAATTCCATTTAAGGGATGCTCAACTTATAACTTAAAAATTCATAAATTTTCCAATTACAAGTTATCAAGCTCTGTTTCTTAGGATACGTCACACAAAATATAATACCAGAGAAGAAAATAATTTGCATTCTGCTACTCAGATTGAACTGATTTTTTAAAAATAAAGCAGAGTAGAATGAAAAAGAAAAATATCTTACCCAGTTCTGGCAAACTCTGCCCAATATCGCATCACCCTGCGACTAAGCGCTGCCTCTGCTTCTGTGTGTGTTTTGTTGGCCTCCAATGCTGCCTCAAAGCTTCCAAACAGATAAATGAGTTCGGCTCCATGGGTTGCCTGTGTCCACTCAGGCCAAACAGTGCCAGAGGTGTGATGTGTAAAAAGGTAAGCATACACAGGACTCCCAGCTTTTCTCATCTGGGTAGCAAATTCGGCTGCAGGACATACAAAGAAATAATCACCCAAAGATTGAACCAAGGCTGAACGGAACTTTGCCGGGCCATGATATTCTTCACTGTATTTCAGGGCCACAGCCTGAATATCTTCTTCAGTTGCGTTCCGCACTGTACTTCTTAATGTTTTTAGAAATTGTTCTTGAGTGATTATGCTGTGATTGTTTCCAGGAAAAATATAAGCCACCAAGGAAGCCGCTTCATCTGAGGTGACACCAGTCAGAATTGGTTTGATCTGCACATGCTGAGAGTCTAGAAGTCTCTGAGGATTATCAGTCAAAAATTCCCCATCTGTTGTTGGTGCAAAGATGAGATCCAAAATAAAACCATTTTTCTGAAACAGAGATGATTCTTGCTGAGGAAAATTCATTGCATCTTTTTTCTGAAGGCAACTCACAATTTCATTTTCATTGCCTTCTCCACATCCCAGCAGGTGGCTAAGTTCAAGGGATTTATTCTTGGCCTTCTCAGGATTTACCCAAGCATAGATAGCATTGGCCTCTCCACTCTGAAGCACAGCTTGGGCAAAAAGAGGCTCACTTTTGGGTGAAAGCAGATGGAAGCCAACAGAGGTTGCTCCAGCACTATGACCAAAAATCGTCACCCGATTTGGATCTCCACCAAAGGCAGCTGCATTCTCCTTGATCCAGGTCAGGGCCAGGTGTTGATCCCACAGACCCATGTTTCCTGGGACGGCTGGTGGCAAGTAAAGGAAACCCAAAGACCCAATGCGGTAATTCATGGAGGCCACAATGACATTCTCTGTCACAGCTAAAGATGCCCCATTGTACAAGTCCAGGGAACTTGTACCTGCAACAAAGCCCCCTCCATGTATCCAGACAAGGATAGGAATAGGTACAGAGGGCTGCGGACGGGGCACCCAGATGCTGAGAAAGAGACAATCTTCTGACAGCGGCCTATTAGGATTCCACAATTTTGCCTCAGGGGTTTGAGTTAGAGGTAACTGAGGACAGGCATTTCCAAAGTTGGTGGCCTTGAGGATTTGATTCCATGGTTGATGTGGAAGAGGCTTCTGGAATCGCAGTTTCCCTAAGGGTGGTTCAGCATAGGGAATGCCAAGATAAGCTTGCACAGAGCCAGAGCCAACTGCGAGAGATTTGCCTTTGACAGGGCCACTGCTGGTGTGCACTACAGGATCATCTTTGGAGGCAGCATTGGAGGCCAGTGAAAACAGGATGAAGAAGGAGCATGATATGGAATAGGCAAGACCTAGCATTGCAGCCACTGGAAGAAAAAAGTTCACAGTGAGATAGTAAAATACAAAGGAAGTCCTCTTCCATTCTTACTCAGTGGATAGCCATGTTTCCATGGTCAACTCCAGTAGATTGATAACCTGTTTACAATAAGCCCTGCTCAATGGCACACTGCTTGAGCTCTAGAAGTATGTTTCAAATCCTTCAGCTCAGAGTCCTTATGCAGTATGCTCTGGTCCTATTTTCCAGTCCTTACTTGAATAGTTTCTGTTGTATTGAATATTACTTCTACATGACTTTCCAAAGAATTGTTGTTTTCTGGGGTCAATGTATTGAAGGCACTCAGTGGGGTCCAAGGCCTACAGAAAAACAAAGTAGGACTAACATCTTGTCCACTTTAGATTATAGTCATATTATGTACAAGGACTAGCCTTTGAAATTACAGAAATTTCATTTAGGTTTGAGGGAAGGCTGATCCACCATAGACCGATGTATAATATTGCAACCCTTCACATAACACATCTTTGCTCTATGTCACCTTCATAGACTCTAAAGCATCTTTTGACTCCACTTCCCAAGTTATGCTATGGGAGAAACTGGAGACCTCCCCACTCAGTTTACAACTGCTGTATATTCCTAATCTGCCTACTCCATGAAGGGACCTCACTCAGAATATGATATAATCCCAGGGCCACCTCACCAAATGCAGTAGAAACTGAGAAAGTGGTCAAGCAAGATTGCATCCTGACCCCACTATTTTTCAACTTTTATATCAACTCCCTGGTGGATCATCTTCCCAAAACTTGCAGGAAGACATATCTCCACCTTAATTTATGCAGATGCTGCTGCACTACTTTCAAGAACACTTATTGGCCTAAAAGAAGCATTGAGAGCACTAATATACTACTGCAATGCAGATCAGTTACAAATCAATTACCAGGAAACCAAATCATGGTAATTGCCAAAAGACTCAAGAGTCACTCTGGACCATAGATGAACATAAAATCAAGCAGGTCCCATGTTTCAAATATCTGGGAGTAGTCTTCCACTCTTCCAACAATAGAAAAGTGCATGGGGACCACGTGGCTGAGATTGTGCAAAGGAGCTCTATAGTCATCCTAAAATACCTCAAGACAAAAGGGGGCCACTTCATACATGCAGCACTCAAGCCATTTGAAACCAAATCAGTAGCACAGCTCCTGCATGTTGCCCAGCTAGGCCCCTTCTCCAATTCCGCCCCACTCAAGTTTGTGCAATCAAAATTCTTAAGATCAGCACTTTAAGTTCCAAGATGTGTCTCCAATGCCATCCTGTGACTAGAGACAGGCTTCATGAGGGTGGGAGCCAGGGTGTGGAGGCCATATTCAACTATCCATTTCTCCCCATGGACTTGCCCCACCAACACTGTGAGATGACTTCCACTCCACATGAAAGCAGGCAATAGGCAATCTCATCCCTGAGCTTCCCTCCAGGGCTGCTACTCAGCATGGGATATGACCAAGCCAAAGTGCTCATAAAACAATGTATAATAGAGCACCAATTAGATCTAGCTTGCACCCCTTCCTTTATTAGCAATGAAGCCAGTAGATATCTCACCTCCCCATGGCATACTTAGTTTATCTAGAGGTACCCAACCATTGGAGGGCCTTCACCCTGGCACCATGTCATGCCCTCCCATCTGCTATATTCAAGGGTCGATATCAGAAGAACCCCTGCCCAGAAAGACTGTCCCCCAGTGACTCCAGACACATAAAAACAACAGAACATGTGCTCCTGCAGTGTCTGTTTTACAGAGACATCCATAATAGCCTCATATCACTACTGCTTTACAAATACCTAAGGTACTCAGGACAACTTCATGCCACCATGCTGTTCTTAGACACCAATGCTGTTACAACATGTAAAGTTGGCAAGTTCTGCGTGGCAGGTGATGAGCTAGCTTTTTAACTTTTTGGAAACTTCTAATCATAGTTATAATTAGTGTTCCACTTCCTAGTCCTTGGATGTGTATCCAACTGTGCCCCTCTCTCCTTGTGCCCCCTTGTGTTCCCTGTGTTATTGAAATATACAAGCTTTTAATGACATTTTACTTCCATTGCAACCCAATGCACTAATCCCAGTGATTGGGAGGGATAATGGTACAATAAAAGAGCCAAAACCAGGCATGCCATATAAAATATATGTGCTGATAAATACACATCATATATACACATTATATTATATATATAGGTAAAGGTAGTCCCCTGACATTAAGTACAGTCATGTCTGACTCTGGGGTGTGGTGCTCATCTCCATTTCTAAGCCGAAGAGCCAGCATTGTCCGTAGACACCTCCAAGGTCATGTGGCCGGCATGACTTCATGGAGCACCATATATATGACCAACACGTGTAATCAAAATACACAAGATTATGAAACAATATTAGACCAAAGGCCATTTACACTGTAGAATTAATGCAGTTCAACACCACCGCCATGTTAAGGAATCCTGGAATTCGTCGTTCGGAATTACGGAATCATAGAATTCTATAGCCTTTAGCCATTACAATTAAAGTGGTCTAAAGTGGTCAATTCTAAAGTCTGGATGCCACATTCACCCACTGTCATCTGCTGGTGGCTTCTATGTCAGTCAAGCAAGGAGCACTACTGGACGTACTGCATACACTAATGTCTAGAAATTCAGTCAAACCATAGCCCACAAAACCTGGATTGACTTATCCATGAGTCGGTGTATGTACTATATTTTACTTAGAATCATAGAATCACAGTGTTGGAAGAGACCTCGTGGGCCATTCAGTCCAACCCCATTCTGCCAAGAAGCAGGATAATTGCATTCAAAGCTTTTATCAAAAAAGCAAAACCATCCTCTTCTCTGAGTAGAATGGCAAAAAAAAAAAAAAACATGAACTTGTCCTAGGAGACAAGCCCTCTATACTCTCTGCTCTGGTTCTGCTCAAAGGAGGCGATGAAAATTCACCAATATATAACATTTTCAAATAACCACAAGATGCAGGTTCCAACACAAATCAAACTCAATTAGAAGAAACCACCGTTCTTTCCACATTTTGATGATTTCTGAACCAGTAAAATAAAAGTATTGCCCTCCACTGAATTTTGCTATTTTTCTTATGGACAAAAGAGCATTTTCCTCCTGTAGATTTCCCTCCCCAATGCATTTCTTTATTATTTGTCACTCACCCTTTGCTTGTTTTACTCTGATCAGCTGCAATCACAATCTCTTCTGTTTCCTCTTCTTTACTTGCTCTCAAATTAATTTTCTCTCGCAGTTTCCTGATTCCAGTCAAGACCAGGATGAGCTGTTGTCCCTTTCAGACAGCCCTCTGCTTTTTTGCAGAGACTTTTATAGCTGATGTTACTAATGAGGAAGACCCAATTGCATCCTTCCTGGGAAGCCTGGGGAAAGCAGGGAGAGTGTCAGAGGGATGCTGGATTAGCAGCCACCTTTTAAGAGAGACTTGCTAACCTGGTTATACCAGTTGGGAATGAGTTGAAGAAGGAGAAATACTAAGAGGCACTTCAGGGCTGCTCCATGGACCTCTTCACATGGGGCATTTCACATGATGCATGGCAAGCCCTGCCCACATTCCTCTCAAGGTGGAAAGTACGCACTGAAAGGCAATTCATCCGCCACTACAGGGAGGAAAGTGTGTTTTGGGTAGCATCAATGGAGCTACCTCTACTTTCCTCTCCTTTTCCCCTGTATGATGAGGGAAAGTGTCAAGCTGGAATGTGTCCAGACGAGGGCAACTAAAATGATCAAGGGTCTGGAGAACAAGCCCTATGAGGAATGGCTTAAAGAGCTGAGCATTTTAGCCTGAAGAAGAGAAGGCTTAGAGGAGACATGATAGCCATGTATAAGTATGTGAGAGGAAATCATAGGGAGGAGGGAGCAAGCTTGTTTTCTGCTGCCCTGGAGACTAGGACACGGAACAATGGCTTCAAACTACAAGAAAGGAGATTCCATCTGAACATTAGGAAGAACTTTCTGACTGTGAGAGCTGTTCAGCAGTGGAACTCTCTGCCCCAGAGTGTGGTGAAGGCTCCTTCTTTGGAGGCTTTTAAACAGAGGCTGAATGGCCAACTGTTGGGGGTGCTTTGAATGCAATTTTCCTGCTTCTTGGCAGGGGGTTGGACTGGATGGCCCATGCTCCAGGGGCTAGGATGCACATCACATGGAGTCACATGGAGTCACATAACATGGGTGATAGTGGAGACCGGGGGTACTTCCATGATGTCTTGAACTTGTTTTTCTGGCGGAAGAGCGTGTTGGTGATGACAAGGTTGTGCTCCACACATTTGGTGAGAAGCAGGATGCCATTTGAGTTGCTGTTTCCAACCCCGTCTTTTCCTATGGTCCCTGGCCACAGGTCGAAGTCTCGCCCGACTCTTGCATTAAAGTCCCCCAGGAGGATGATTTTGTCCTCCTTAGGTATCCCCGATAGGACGGTGTCCAGCTGACAGTAGAATTTCTCCTTGATGTCTTCGTCAGCATCTAGTGTTGGTGCATAGGCACTTATGATGGTTGCCCGTTGGTTTTTGGCAAGATTGATTCGGAGGGTTGAGAGTCGTTCGTTGATGCCAGTGGGAGCTTCGGACAGATGTTTCATCAGATCATTTCTGATAGCGAAGCCAACTCCGTGCATTCTTTGGTCTTTTTCGGGCAGTCCCTTCCAGAAGAAGGTGTAGCCTCCTTTTTCTTCCTTCAGCTGTCCCTCTCCTGCTCTCCGGGTCTCTTGAAGGGCTGCTATGTCGATGTTAAAGCGTCCCAGCTCCCTTGCAATGATGGCAGTTCTGCGTTCAGGACGTTTGCTGTCACTGTTGTCCATCAGAGTCCGTACGTTCCACGTACCGAAGTTCATTTTCCTTTTTTGGCCGCAGGGTGGTGACCCCACTGGACGCGGCAGTCCAGTCAGGGATAAGTGAGGCAGACTATGTTTAGGGCACCTTTTCTAGCCCCCTCCCCATGTGGGGTGAGCAGAGTGGGTCCTCAATAGGGCTGCTCAGTCGCGGATACAGCTGCCGAACTACTCAACTGCCTCGGACCTTGAGGTAGAACGACTGAGTCCGTACCCACCGCCCATGTGCCAGTCTGTGACTAGGGGCTTCCAGATTTCACAGTCCTGCCCCCGTCGCCACTCGCTGATCGCCATGGGACTTTGGTTGGTTTGTTTTTATTTTCTTTGGAAGACGCCTGTGCGTGGGTTTTTTTAATGTGTGGAGGTCAGTGCACAACTGATCAACACACAGACTTCACAGAGTGAGGTTCCACTGGTGATGTAGTTTAACACAATGACCGTGGCTTCTCAGTCTGTTGCAGCCTTCTTCCGCCTTCGCAGCCGTTGTAACATGTGCCATGTTATCCTCCGCCTGCTCCGCCGTTGAGGTCTTTGGGTCTTCGGACTGTGCTTGGTCTGGAACCTCCCCCGCAGCCATTCCTGGGAGTGCACGACTCCAGTTGTTGTGCCTACAGGTTCATCGGAACGCGCAAGCCCCCTCACCACGACAAGGTGACAGTCCATCGAGGGGGTGTTTCCATCTATATATATATTGTAGTGGGATGGATGGAAACATTAGGAAGAATTTCATGATGGTAAGAGCTATTTCCATCTATATATATATATATATAATAATGGGATGGATGGAAACATTAGGAAGAATTTCCTGATGGTAAGAGCTATTTCCATTTATATGTATTATAATGGGATGGATGGTAAGAGTTGTGTGTTCATAGCAGCTGCATAGTAAACAGAACTGTGTTACTGTGCAACCATGAAGTGGTGCAACAATGAGAACATAAAATAGCACTCACAATAACAAATTGAACAAATCTTTTGGTTATATTTAAAATTGGGCATAGCCAAAAAAAGGGCAATGCATGAGTTCAGAGGAGTTATCTGTGAGAAGATGTACTAAGCAGAAAGAACAATCTGTATTTTGATTGTGCAGTAAGAAAAATGGATATGCTGCCAAGTTCTTGATTTCTGCTAAGGATGGGATTAGAGGGCTAGGATTTAGCATAGCAGGCTAAACGCCAGCTGCAGTAAATCTTGCCAATTGAAAGGTTAACAGTTCAAGCCTGGGTCGGGGTGAGCTCCTGGCTATCAGCCCAGCTTTTGCCCACCTTGCAGATTGAAAACAGCAATGTTAGTAGATAAAAGTGGAGAGGCGTCCATAAAGTACATGTCGACAATTTGATTGGATGCGTCTATGGTAAAAGAAAAAGTTCCTTGGCATGGAATATGGAGCAACCGCAGCCCCTGTGGCCAGAATCAAGCACATCCTCCAGATGTCAGAGATGAAAAAAAGCATTTCCTCGACAGATCACCTAAGCAGAGAGGTCTTGTCTGTGTCACTTTATGGATTTGCCAAAGTTACAAAATTGTAGGATGAACAGGTACCCACTGTAMTACTGTCAGCACTCTTTATCAACAGATTCTGCATCTACGAATTCCATCATCCATTGATTGAAAATATCCTCCCCCCCCCCACATAAAAAAAATAAATCCAAAATGCAACACTTGATTTTGCCATTTTATATATGGGACTCTATTTTACTATGCCATTATATATAAGGGGACTTGAGCATCCACAGTTTCTGGAAACCATTTTAGCAAAACACCAGTTGATACCAAAGCCCACTGTACTGATAGTCACCAAGAGCCCCTCATTAAATAGTGTTTAGCAAAAGTTTCTCAGAACTGTAAAACAACCTACTATGTCCACCTATTCAGATAGATCTCTTTTCAAATATCGCCTTCCGTCCTTTCTTCCTTCCTTTCCTTCCTCCCTCTTAACAAAGGGAAGAGGACTTTCATACCCAGAAGTGACTCTGAGCCTCATAATAGACAAGAAACCTTGCTAACATTGAGTATTAGGCTGTGGTTTCTGCTGTAATGCATAATAGCTATCTCATCTAACTGCAAATCAGGAATTAATGGAAGTAAATCAGGAGTTACCTGCTCATGCCCACAAAAGGCTTGCCTATTCATTGTCTTGCTCAACGGAGACTGTGGTCAGTTTCCGCTCTTCTGAATATCTTCCCCTTCATGTTGCATTGCACATAAATATTCTCATAGCGGACAGTGTCTTGCCATATCCTTTAGTGCAGACAGATCTTGCCTCAGATCACTTTTGAGGAAGTAAATACATATTTTCTAAGCTTTACAGTAACAGCAGAACTGCCCCTTACAAAAACAACTCAGAATTCACTGAAACAGAATAAACAAATCATGTTAGTTTGGGGAAGGGGGAAAGAAATGTGTAAGTGAATGAGCAGGTCATATTATTTCATCTATTTGGGGAAGGGGAAATGTGAACTTTGGGGAAGGGGAAATGCTAGGGCAACATTATATGGAATTTTCCATTAAGGAAGATGCATTTAGAAGTCTTTGTGGGTATCCAGTGGAGCTGTGCCCGGATCCATTTCCCTTCGGTACCTCCGGCACTTTCAGTTCCTTCGGTACCTTCAGGAGCATGTAACAAGAAGGCCCCTCCCGGTACGAAAATCCGCTCGACACGAAAGCAAGCAGGAGCTGATCCCAGCTCCTTGTCTGCTTTTCGTGAGCTCCTCACGTGGCACGCGGAGAACTGCCACGTGCTCTTTCCCTCAGAGTCCTGCCTGTTGGGCCAATAGGAGGAGAAGAATGCCATGACATGGTTCACACAAGCTGGATCTATTTAATGAGGTGACCGCCTCCATGTGCTCAATTGCGTCGCGCCTCGCCTGCTGCGACTGCCTGCCTGCCTCGCTTTCCGCTGCTCGCTATAGCCCTGCTGCTCGCTTCAGTGTGATTTATTTTTATTGTTGCCTTGGCTTGACTCAATCTTTTTGATTTCTCCTTTTTATTTATTATTTATTTATTTATTATTTGCATTTGTTAACCGCCACTCTCAGCCCGAAGGCGACTCGTGGCGGTGTACAGAACATAGAACATAAAGACAACAGTTACAGTAAATTCCGGGCATAACACACAACTTACTAACACACAGCTAATTAAACTAAAAATCCGCTTCGTCTTGTTTGGGTCATAAACGATCTCATAATCCTAGTCCATTCCGGTGGTCATTCCAACGCATAGCACTTAATTGAAGGCCTTTTCGAAGAGCCAGGTTTTCAGGCCCTTGCGGAAGGCCAAGAGGGAAGGCGCCTGTCTAATTTCAGCAGGGAGGGATATTCTTTTTATTTAAAGGGACTTGGGAACTGGTGGGTGAAGGTGGGGTGCATGCGTGGGGGGGGGAGCTTAGGTTGGGCGAAGAAGTCAAAGAGCATCTCTTTGCTCTGACTGGCTGGCTGCTGGTTTCTTTTATTTGCTTTTCTTTAAAAGCATTTAAAAATATTTGGGTGGCTCTGAGAGCCTCAAGTCACCCTTCTTTTTCTCCTCCCTTCCTCTCCTTCTCAAAATCCTTTCTAAAGATAATAATAATTCTATTATTAATAATAGCAAACAAAAAGGAAAACCCTCCAAACTACTAATTTTATCTACCTACCCCTACTACTATAATTTCATTCCTTTGACATTTCTACTTCTTTCATATTTCTCTCTTTGGGTATTCAGCCTGCTGCATTTTATGTAAATAATTATTTAAAAAATAAAAATATTTGTTGGGTTTCTATGGAGAAACCTGGCCTGAGGGCCATTATCCCTGCCTTTGAAAATTAGATCTCTCTGCTCTAGTCTCTCTGTCTGGCTTCTGCCCTCTCTCTGCTGCTGCATTTCCAGAAATAAATAAATAAATAAATAAATAAATAAATAATCAGAAGAGGAGGAGGAGGAGGAAATTTCAACAGCTGCTTTGTTGAGCTTCACACTTCAATAGAGAAACTTGGCCCATGGGCCATCACTGCCTTTGAAAACTAATTGTTGTTGTTGTTGTTGTTGTTCTTCTTCTTCTGATTATTATTATTATTATTATTATTATTATTATTATTATTATTTCTGGAAATGCAGCAAGCAGTGAGAGAGGGCAGAAGCCAGATATAGAGAGAGACTAGAGAGAGATCTAGTTTTCAAGTTTCTTTAGTGTAGCATGAAGCCCAACAAAGCAGTTGATTAAACTTCTTTGTGACACATTGGCCAGTACACCTTAACCAGCCCAATTACTCTTCTTCTGATTATTATTATTAAATTATTATTATTATTATTATTATTATTATTATTATTATTTCTGGAAATGGAGCGGCAGAGAGAGGGCAGAAGCCAGACAAAGAGATTAGAGAAGAGAGATCAGTCATTTCTGATTTCTGGCACAAACCCTCAAGCGAAATTCTTGACTAAATTTGTTTAAAGGTGGGTTGCTATTGCTTTCCACTGAGGCATTTCCATAAATAATAATAATAATAATAATAATAATAATAATAATAATAATAATCAGTATGAGAATAATAAACTGAGTTTGACTTGATCAAGTGTGTATGCCCGAGAGGTAATCTGAACAGTGTTCTCCCAAAATCTTTTTGTGTATCTACACTGTAGAATTAATGCAGTTTAGCATTACTTTAACTGCCATGACTTAATGCTGTTTAGCATCACTTTAACTGCATTCATTCTATAGATCCACCTTCAGTTTAGGAGAAAGTCAAAAAGTACATAAAATAAAAATAAGAACAACAACTCGGTTTTATAATGTATTTCAGGATTTTTATTTCGTTCCTCAGTAACCCACTAGAAATGCTTTCTTGAAACAATAGAAAAGATACATTGCTCAGAGTTCAGTGGCAAAAGTGTAGATCACAGGTGTACAAAAAGTGGATTATTAATGAGGTTCTGGCTTAAAGCATCACATTAGCAGAAAAGCATCACATTCCCAAAACAATGGGGCTTATTATTCAGCATGAAAGGATATTTGGAGATTTTGGTGGGGGAGGGATGTTTTGTGCATCTTCACTTGGTGAAAGAGAGCCCTCATTAGATTTGCCTGTGGAAGGAAAACAGAAAGGAAAGAGGGGGAAAACAAGAAAATTAATTAGGAACAGGTCTTCATTTCCAAGAGGAATGTTGAAGATTCTATAAACTTTGGAAGGCAGTACATTCTTCATAACATTTTGATAGCAATTTAGCTGCCATCGATGCTCTTGGGTTTCATCCCTGACTGCAGAAGTCTCCAGTCCTCAGTGAGTAGATAGACTAAATAAGATTACAATGAGGAATCTCCCTCCCCCCCCCCCATTCCTATGCATGCTTATCCCAGAAGGGGCTCTGTCTTTACTCTCCTTCTTCTCTTCCCACTATCTCCTCCCCCTTTGAAGCTGTAGCAATGTAATCTCTGTGAGGGATGAGGTTACTTCCTCTTTAAAGGTATTTTTATTGCCATGGCTTGTTGGCCATGTGGTCATTCTCCATTTTGGCCCTTTTTCTTCTGCCTTTGTCTTCCTTCCAGTGATGACGCATTTTGTCATCCATGTAGCTGCATGGATACTTTTGTTATTTTATTCTTTTACCTTCCTTAGTAAGCTAGTTCGCTTCAAGACCCCTTTCTATCTAGAATGGATTTCTTTTTATTTCAATAAATATATTTTAGAACCTAAAGTTGTGACTCCCCAATCCTCTTGAATGCAAGCTAATCTGATTTCTGCTGGTTATGAACTGTGTTTCTGGCACTCTGCTATATTTTTTGTGGAATCACCCCAAGTGAGGGTTATTTTGAGCCTGACAGCTCCGATTCCCAACAGATACGGTGGCCCCAAGACTTCTTGAAGAAGTTGTTGTGGATTTTTTTCTCAAAAGTCTTTGTCCTAAATATGTGCATGTATAGTGTTCCTTTGTGGGGCAGTGAGAACTACCCTATATAGTTATGTATATGTCTCGAAATGTTAGTAAAAAATCAGGCACCCAACCAAAATGCTGGGTCAATTGGATCACACATTAGTGTGAGTACTGTACCTCTTTTAAAAAAAAAAGCCTTCCCATTCTCTGAGCATACTTGTGAAAATGTAGTTAATCCTGGAAGAACCTGTGTGTGTGTGTGTGTGTGTGTGTGTGTGTGTGTAAGTTTGGAAATTTTACTTTTGGAATTCAACTGTATTAGGTGGCATGAACAATACTCATACCACCTGGGGAAATATATGGATTATTGTTCAAAAGAGCATTTTTTTCAAAGCTATTCATTGTCTGTTGGGATGTGGTATGATAATGCCATGAATCATAGAGTTGGAAGAGACCACATGAGCCATCTCATCCAACCCCCTGCCATGCAGGAAAAGTACAATCAAAGCACTTCCACTTTTTATTTAGTGTGGGTGTTTATAATTCAATTAAAATATGAGTGAATTCCCCTAACCTACCTCGAATGATATAAACATGGCATTGGAAGAGGCTACAAGAGCCATGTGGTCCAACTCCATTCTGCCATACATATATTAAATGTATATTTATTATCATTTTATGTGTTGGTGTTTTTATATTGTTGGAAGCCACCCTGAGTCCCTCTTCGGAGGTCAAGAATAGGACAGGATACAAATATTATAAATAAATAAATATAAATACAGAAATACACAACCAAAGCACTCCTGACAGGTGACCATCCTGAGTCTGTTCAAAATCCTCCCAAGAAGGAGACTCCAATACTCTTTTTGAATACTCTGTCCTCTGGGCTATTAGCACCACTCCCAGTATGGAGTCTTTTGCAAATTTAATAAACATGCCCTCTAGTCCATCATCCAAGTCATTAATAAAGATGCTGAATAGAAATAGAACCAGGAGAGAACCCTGTGGCATCACATTCATCATCTCACCAGGATGAGGAGGAGCCATTGGTGAGTTCCCTTTGTGTTTGGTCCCAGAATCCCTTCTAAAGAAAATTGAACTATGAATCAGAGACCATTAGTAAGTATGGTGCCTGCAGGTAACAGTATTAAAATTCAGGTCTAGGGTGCCAATTAGAAACATCTGGTTCATGAGAAGCAAACACATACCTCAGAACATAAAGCTGAACTTACTTGACTGTGCAGAATATGCTTTCAAGAAATCACAGTGGTGGGCTGGTGAGACCTGTTGGTTTTGAGGCATCTCAGTGTTAAGAAGGAAGACCTTCTGCTGCATGGCATTGTAGAGGGGCCATTTTCCCTCCTTGACCTTTGACCCTGTGGGATTTCTGTGGAAGAAGTGAGAATATATTTAAGGCCAATATATGACTGCATGTGGACAATGAAGAAACTGAGTTTCCGTGTATTGTCAAAGGCTTTCATGGCCGGAATCACTGGGATGTTGTAGGTTTTTCGGGCAGTATGGCCATGTTCTAGAAGCATTCTCTCCCAATGTTTTGCCTGCATCTGTGGCAAGCATCCTCAGAGGTTATGAGGTTTGTTGGAAACTAGGAAAGTGTTCTTGCCATACATCAAGGGAACCACTGACCGCATAGGGAAACTGATGAGGAAACACAACATACAAACTATTTACAGACCCACCAAGAAAATGTTCAGCAAAGGACAAGAGGGGTCCTCTCACCTCTGCAGGAGTCTACCATATACCATGCAGCTATGGACAAGTCTATATAGGGACCACCAAACGCAGCATTGCACGAACATGCATCAAGGAACATGAAAGACACTGCTGATGGATTCAACCTGAGAAGTCAGCCATAGCATAGCACCTGATGAACCAACCTGGACACTGCATATTTTTGAGAACACAGAAATGCCTCTCTTGGTTACCATTAGAGTTACAGGGGGATGGCCTATCTGAATAATGAAAGAATAATGAAGGTATATTTTTATTGTTATGTTCATATGTGATATTGAATTTTGCCGGTGTCTGTAAGCTCATTGAGTCCCCTGCAGGGTGAGAAAGGCAGGGTATAAATGAAGTAAATAATAATAATATGAATATCATATGGTTCATATGTTGGCATCTCATGATGCATTTAGCTATGAATCCTCTAAAAAGAACCTAAAAACATAGCTATCTTAAGGTAAAAGTTTTCCCCTGACATTAAGTCCAGTCATGTCCAACTTTGGGAGGGTGATGCTCATCTCAATTTCTAAACCGAAGAGCCAGCATTGTCCATAGACACCTCCTAGGTCATGTGACCAGCACGACTGCATGGAGCAACATTACCTTCCCGCCGGAGCAGTACCTATTGATCTACTCACATTTGCATGTTTTTGAACTGCTGGGTTGGCAGAAGCTGGGACGGACAATGGAAGCTCATGCCGCTCCCCGGATTCGAACCTGCAACCTTTGAGTCAACAAGCACAGTCAGCAGCTCAGCAGTCTAACCCACTGCACCACTGGGGCTCTCTTATTTACTCCAAAAAATTAATGAATAGTTACTTTTAAAAGGTGAAATCCTAATCTAACTAACTACTTTTTAAGTCTGAGAAGTACAACCCTAAATTGTTGTTGTTTGCAAAAAGCAATTTCCCAAGTTGTTGTCAGCTTTGAGGACTCCTCTGTGGCATCTGGAGAGCCAACAGAGGTAGAGAATGCTGTATGCCATGGGGCTTTGATCTGATCGAACATATGCTCTTATTTCTTCAATGTTTGCAGGGGATAAGGCTCATTCTGATAGCAAAATAGGCCACTGGAGTCACTTCTGAAACTATCCTGTTTTGTGCAAGAGGTGTTTGTGTATGCTGTAAAAGGATTTTCTTCTTTTTTTGCAAAAGATAAACAGAACTGAGGTTCAGAGATTTCAGTTCGGTACTCAAAACAATTCCTGATTGCTTAACCAGTTACCCAAGCTTTTACTACACAAGATCTGAGATCAATGTGGGCATGTTGCCACAGAAAAGCAAAATGAGGACATTGCCCCACTCTGTTAGAAATCAGCCCTGCCATGAAGGTTTCCTAAATTTCCATCATTGCAGTAACTTAATGTAAACTGAGCATTTAGAAATAGAGTTTCGGCATCCAAAGAAGAGGATCAGGCAAAGTTGCCAAAAGGAATGCAAACACATATAACGTTTTAGGTTTGAATGATTCTGGGTTCTAGTTGTGAAATACTCTTAATGTCTCATTCTTGGCATTGCTAAAAAAATTGAAGACTGAAGGAAAGTTTCATGCAAGGAAGGACATTTGGAGTCTAGCACCAAAGGTTGCTTTAACTCTTTCACAAGGTCTAACACAGTGTTACAAAATGTCTGCTGCAAGCCCTTGTAGAAAAGTTTACAAACAGACACATTGTCACAGTGTTTGAGACCACATGTTTCAGGAACCAAATCTGTCTCAATTTCATGCAGCCCACTATCTGGACAACAGCATTACACTGATTGGAGTCTCATACAGGTTGAGTATCTATCATCTGACTCTTGGGGCCAAATGTGTTTTGGAATTTCCTGATTTTGAAATAGCTGTGTTTGCACATCCATACACAATGAGACATTTTAGAGACGGGATCTATGTCTAAACATTACATTTGTTTCATAAACACCTTGCACACATAGTCTTAAGGTAATTTTATACAATACTTTACATAATTGTGTTCAAAACCACATTTTGTGCATTTTGAATCATCAGAAAGCAAAGGTGACCTGATGTTAGCAGCCCATGTGGATAATTTTGGAGTATTTCAGATTTTGGAATTCCGTATAAGGGAGGTGCAAACTGGACACCTTTGAACATGATGAATGAAATGCCACCAGTGATTCTTTTTGCTAGACAGTGACAGCTGTTTCCTGGGCTGTATAATAACAAGGTAATCTCAGTGATGGAAACTGTGCATCTTGCATTGTTTATTGAATGGCTAGATTTTTTTCTGTATGAAGTAAAGAAATCTGAGCAGAAACAACAATGCCTTACCCATTTCTGGTGAACTCTGCCCAATAGTGCATGATCCTATGGCTAAATGCAGTCTCGGCCTCTGTATATGTTTTGTTGACAGCAACAGCCAGCTCAAGATGGCCAAATACATATGGTAGCTCAGCACCATGAGGTGCCCCTAGCCACTCAGGGAAGAATGAACCAGAGGTGTGGTGAGAGAAGACGTAAGCATACACAGGACTCCCAGCTTCTTGGACCTTTGCCGTAAATTCAGCTAATGGGCACCAAAACCCATATTCATTAATCATCTGAATCATGGCCGACCGGTACTGTGCAGCACCCTGATAGTCTTCACTATACTTCAAGGCCACAGCCTTCACATCTTCAGCACTCACATTGCGAATTGTCATCTTTGCCACTTTTAAAAGTTGATCCCAAGAGATCAAGCCATCCTTGACATCAGGGTAGTGATACAGCACAAAAGCAGATGCTTCATCGGAAGTGCCACCAAGGAGAATTGGTTTGACCTGGATGCGTCCCGACTGAAGTAGTTTTTGTGGATCCTCGGGCAAAAAGTCTCCATCTGTGGTTGGTAAGAAGGGGAGATCCAGAAGGAATTCACTCTTTTCCATCATAGATAACTCCTGCTGACCAAATTCAGATGCATTTTTTCCCTGAAGGCAGCTCAATACAGCATTTTCATCACTTCCTTCACATCCCAGAAGCTTACTGAAAGCAAGGGTTTTCTGCTTAACCTCCTCAGGACTTTTCCATCCCCAGAGCAAATTGGGAGCTGCACTCTGCAGGATAGCTTGGCTGAAAAGTGGCTGGCTTCTTGGAGAAAGGAGATGCAAACCCACAGAAACTGCCCCACCATTGTGGCCAAAAATGGTAATCTTGTTAGGATCTCCACCAAAAGCAGCTGCATTCTCCTTGACCCAGGTCAGGGCTAGCTGTTGATCCAACAGGCCCATATTTCCTGGAATAACAGGTGACAAAGAAAGGAAGCCCAGAGCACCCAGGCGGTGGTTGATGGAGGCCACAATGACCTTCTCTCTTGCAGCAAAGGAAGCTCCATTATATAAGTCCAGTGAAGCTGAGCCAGAGTAAAATCCAGACCCGCCATGGATCCAGACAAGAATGGGAGTTGGTGTAGAGGGCTGTGGATGAGGCACCCAGATGTTGAGAAAGAGACAATCTTCTGACAGAGGCCTGTTGAGAGCCCACATCTTTGAATCAGGGAATTCTGGGTAAGTGAACTGGGGGCAGGCATTGCCAAAGTTGTTAGCCTCCAAGACTTGACTCCAAGGCTGATGTGGACGAGGCTTCTGGAAACGCAAGTTCCCCAAGGGAGGCTCAGCATAAGGGATGCCAAGATAGGCCATCACAGAACTAGAGCTTTCTGAGAGTAGTTTTCCTTTAACGGGACCACTCTTGGTGTTCACCACAGTGCCATCTCCAATTGGAGAACTGGATGCCAATGAAAAGAGGAGGACGAGGAAACAGAAACCGGAAAAAGGAAGACCAAGCATGATGGCAGCTGAAAGGAGAAAATGGTAGACAAGGTTAAATAAATACATGGCATCTATTTCACTCATAATTCATTGTAGCATACAGCACTATCTTCCCCTGTAACTCAGTCTCTTTAATGGCACTCTGGAAGTGTGCAAAGGCATTCCTTTTCGAGAAGGTGTTTAATTAAGCCAGACAAATGGTAATGGAAGCTCTGGGGTTTTATCTTTGTTTTGATGTTCACATGGGTGTAAGTGTGTTTGCTGTTTCAAATATTTATGTTTTAATGAGTTGTTTAAACTTTTGTTTTGTATCTTTTTATTCTGTTGTAACTGCCTTGGGTCTGTGCTCAGAGAAAGGCAAGTTCTATATTTCTCGAATGAATGAATGAATGAATTAGTGAATGAATAAGTGTGTGGGTGGGTGTGCTTGCACCTTCCTTCAAGATGCTTGTCAATTTATGGTAATCTCATAAAGTAGCTTTTTTTTCTTTTAGCTCTTTTTTCAACTTATTAAAATTTGGTTTTTTAAATCCTATATATTTTTAGCTATATTTATCCCTAAATATTTGAAACTTTCAGTAATTTTAATCTTATAATTCCTTTTAATAGCTTCTGTTTCCCCTTTACTATTGTTAATTAGCATTATTTTGGACGTACTCCAATTTATTTTCAAACCTGTTATTTCTTCAAAATCTTCCAAATGTTTCTGGATTTTTTAAAGCTTTTGATAGTTCTATTATAGTCAACAGTGTGTCATCTGCAAATAAAATAATCTTTACCTTTTCTTTTTGTAATATTCCTTCTATATCTTTGTCTTGCCATAACACATTTGCTAATAATTCAATCACTTGTATAAATAAAATTGTAGGTAATGTAATGTTTTGTTATTGCTTATTGCTTATGTTTTTAATTTGCTTTAAATTGTATTGTTATTGTTTTGCTGTTGTTGTGTTGAGGCCTTGGCCTTTGTAAGCCGCATCGAGTCCTGCGGGAGATGCTAGGGGGGTACAAATAAAGTTTAATAATAATAATAATAATAATAATAATAGCATCCTTTCCCCATGGGCATTACTTTAGGAAGTCTTCTTGCACAATTTAGATAACTAAAACTATCCTTTCATTCACTCATATCCCCGCTCATTCCTTTCCAAACTTGCAAGAGTAGGCATAAATTACATGGTGGTGAATCTACTCCAAATGCTTGGCAGGTCTTTAGTCTGATCTTTGGAGAAAATAAGGCACTAAACTCTGTAGCTACTTTAAAGCCTGGAGTTTTCAGAATGGTCATCATATCTGTCTGTTTCATAATAGAAAGGGAAGGGATCTGAAAGTAGCTTTAAGGTTTAATATGTTTATTTTAGCATGAGCTTTCAAGGATTTCAGCCTACTTCTTCAGGTGTGATGAGGCAAGATATTCATTCAAACTATGAGTGGGTATATTACTTTATCAGCACATCTGAAGAATTGGACAGAAATCCATAAAGGCTCATGCTAAATTGATCTTAAATGTTCTGTTAGATTCTTCCTTTCTTTTAAAGTTTGGAGTAAATTCTGGAGTGGATTTATACCCAAATGATATAGATTCACCAGCGGCCATGCTTGTATCACTGCACCCCAAATCACACCCTTGAGCCCAAGAGCAATGAGTAGTGACTATTTGCCATCATTTCTGGTTTCAAAGGTTTGATTAAGGCTACAATTGACCATTGCTAAATAGGAGAAAAACTTAATCAGAGAAGCCTAAATCAGAGAAGGCAGAAACATATCTCATCTTTGTCTTTGACTCTCTCTCTCTTTTTCTCTACTACATCCTCTCAATTTCTCCATAACCAACAGCTATAACCACTATTTGGAGACTAGATGTACATTAGCCAAGTGACGCTAAATCCAAAGAAGTATAGAAAACATCAGCTCAATGCGGTGCTCTGGAGTGGGAATAACTGACAGATCTGCACCTTCAGGGAATGCATATGTCTTCTCCAACAGTGGATCCTCTACACCAGGGGTCCTCATACTAAGGCCCGAGGGCCATATACGGCCCTCCAAGATCATTTACCCGGCCCTTGCTCAGGGTCAACCTAAGTCTGAAATGACTTGAAAGCATAAAACAGCAGCAGCAACAACAACAATCCTATCTCATCAGCCAAAAGTAGGCCCACACTTCCCATTRAAATACTAATCAGTTTATATTTGTTAAMATTATTCTTCCTTTTAATTATTGTATTGTTTTAAGTGTTTGTTTTTTTTGCATTACATATAAGATACGTGCAGTGTGCATAGGAATTCATTCATTTTTTTTCAAATTATAATCCGACCCTCCAACAGTTTGAGGGACTCTGACCTGGCCCTCTGTTTAAAAGGTTTAAAAGGTTTGAGGACCCCTGCTCTACACCAAGTAAGCCTCACWGGAAGTGTCTAGAGTTCAGTAGCATATATAGGAGTCCCCAGTAGTGCAGTGGGTTAAACCCTTGTGCCAGCAGGACTGAAGACCAGTTTTGAATCYGGGGAGAGCATGGATGACCTCCCTCTGTCGGCTCCGGCTCCCTATGCGGAGACATGAGGGAAGCCTCCCATGGTAAAACATCAAAACATCTGGGAGTCCCGTGGGCAACGTCCTTGCAGATGGCCAATACTCTCACACCAAAAGCAACTTGCAGTTTCTCAAGTCACTCCTGACTTGAAAAAAGTAACATATATTGGCCAGGGGAACAAGGTATTTGATCTTGAGGTTCCTAATATAAATGAATCAGCCCAGATCTCTTGTCCTTCTATCCATAGATCACTCCCACGTTTTCCAAGGCAAATACATTTTCTGGTTTGTTTGGGACCTACCTTCTTGACAGGTGTCTACTGCTCTTCAGTGAGGCTCCCACACTGTTCAGTTGTAAGTTCAGTGAATACAGAGTTGCCTGCCACACTCCCTGCACCTCTTAGAAATCACCGGGAGCCTGACGGTATTTATGTACTGTTGGAAAGAGCATTGACCAACTGAACATTTTCATACAAGAGCAAGAAGAATGGTTCTACTTGCGAAATTGCCAGGGAGTTCAAGTCAGGGTCAAAGAGAAAGAATAATGCTTTTTTTAAAAAAAAAACAGGATGGGTTGGACTTCAGGGAAAGGACAGTCAGAACCACAAAAACATAGTCCATCACTGCATTGAAAAGAGAATGCAGTGTTCTGGTTTTGCAAAGCTTGCGTAATTTACCTGTTTTTAGAGTACAGCTCACAAAGTTCCCCAGTCAGTTTAGCCAGTATTCCATTATCATGTTCTGGCAAAAAACTACTATCACCTTCTTTCTTTACAAAATTTACAGGAAACCCATTCCTTACACCAATTACTTCCTATTATTCACATCTATGCAATCTAATTGCCAGGTTTATGAGGGGAACCAAATATTCATGGAAGGGTTGAAATGTTGTGGTTTGTGGCCATCACTGTCCCTTCTCAACCACCGAACTCACAAGGTTCCCCTGCCAGTTTAGCCAGTATTCCATATTCCAGTATTCCCCAGCCAATGGTTTTCAAACTGGGAACAGGTTTACTGCATCACCTCCCTCATGAAGCCTCCAAACCCCTGTGGACATGGAGGACTGAACAAAAAGCAGCCATTGCATGTTCTAGCAAAAGACTACTACCACCTTCTTTCTTTACAAAATTTAGGTAAACCCATTCCTTACACCAATTACTTCCCATCATTTACATCTGTGCAATCCTGATTGACAATGTTATGAGGAGAACTAACCATTCATGGGTTGAAATGTTGTGGTTGCAGCCATTACTGTCTGTTCTCAACCACCCACAAAAGTAGGCATGGGCAATCTTTTTTTGTCTTGGGGCCACATTGTGGGTCCAGCTGGGAGGGCTGGGCCAGGAGGGAGAGGGACCGGACACATGCTGAGTGAAGCAGGCCTGGGTGGGGGAGGGTGTAGGAGAGGGCGGGGGTGGATGGGCAGGGCAGGGCCTGGGTCATCCTCAGGTTGTTTTCCCAGCATAAGGATGGAGCTGATTGCCCTATCCTTATGCTGGGAGGAAGGCAGGACATGTGGCAACTGCATCGATCCCCCTACCCCTCCCCATGCTTTTCTCCTAATCCTCAAGCTGTCCTCTTGACATTATGCCAGGAGGAGAGAGAGACAGGTGGTGGCTGAGAATGCTCCTTCTTCAAGCTGTCCTCCTGGCATAAAGATGGAGCTACTCATACCGTCCTCATGCCGGGAAGAAGTCGAGACACACAGTGGCTGAGAGCACTCCAGAGGGCTTTCAGCTGCAGCGTGCCTTCCTCCCCCATCTTTTTGGTGTAAGGATGTGGCGGGCCACCATGTTCTTCTACCAAGAGGACCAGAAAAATGAGGAGGACCTGAGGTTAGCACCCAGGGGGCCACATCTAGGCCTGAGTTTGCCCATGCCTGCACTAAAGGGTGAAAGGCAATGCCATGAATGCTGAACATATCTAAAGAACTACTTGTAATATGCAACTGATTACAGTTTCAAGTACCCCCTAAAACTAGTCATGGAGGATTGAACATCCTTCTAGGAATTTAAGATCATCTGGGGAGGCCCTGCTCTCAATCCCGCCTTCTTCGCAGGTGCATCTGGCAGAAACGAGAGACAGGGCCTTCTCAGTGGTGGCCCCTTGGCTGCGGAACTCCCTTCCTAGGGATATTAGATCACACACACACACACACACACACCCTCCTGATTTTCTGGAAAAAATAAAAACCTTGCTCTTCAAACAAGCTTTTGGAACTGCAGTGTACTAGATAAACACGATACTATGAAAGAGTGAACATGGAACTGTTTAAACGATGCTAATGGAAAATGTGTTTAACTGGAGGACATTGGTGATTATACTTGTAATGGTTTTATATGGATTTTTATTATGTTAAATGTTCTAATTATATTTATGACTGTTGTGGCACCAAATTGTTGCCAATTTTGTAAGCTGCCTTGAGTCACCTTCGGACTGAGAAAGAACAGAAATACTGTAAATAAATAAATAATCCTCCCCATCTCCAATTGACTATTGGGATACCCATGCAGCCAAATCCCATTCAGAATTATGTACTGGCATTGAATGTTTGCCATTTTTTACTTTGAAAGCCGCCCTGAGTCCCCTGGGGAGAGAAGGCAAGCTAAAAATAAATGTATTATTATTATTATTATTATTATTATTATTATTATTAATATATGTGTGTTATGGCGACAATTTTTATGCTTATATTTTATTTTGTTAATCTTATGGTTATGTTGTTTTTACTTTGCATGTTTTGTGATGGTACCTGGGAACCGCTCTGAGTCCCCTCGGGGAGATGGAGTGGTATATAAATAAAGTTGTTGTTATTATTATTATTATTATTATTATTATTATTATTATATTTGGTATTATATTTATGGTGTTTGGATTGTTGACACATTTAGCTGGATGATGATTATGATTGTTTTAATGCAAAATATTGTGCTTCAATAACAACTTCTGCACAAAATAAGTAGGAATAGTAATAGCTTTCCTGACAAGATTAGGCCCATTCCCTTAAAAATGCTTTTGAGTCCCTGAGTGCTGTTCTCAAGAACAGAATCTATTCTCCTGTAATTGAAATTGGACCCTACCATCTACAGTTTATCTACTCCGTGGCGGCCCTTTCAATACTTGAATGGTGCTGGAGGAAAGTTCTGAGAGTGCTTTGGACCACGAGAAGATCCAACTAGTCCATACTTCAGGGAAAAAAGCCCGACTGCTCATTGGCGGGAAGGATATTGGAGACAAAGATGAAGTACTTTGTCCACATCATGAGAAGAAAGGAAAGCTTAGAGAAGACAATTATGCTGGGGAAAATGGAAGGAAAAAGGAAGAGGGGCTGACCAAGGGCAAGATGGATGGATGGTATCCTTGAAGTGACTGGATTGATCTTGAAGGATCAATCCAGTCACTTCAAGGGGGGTAGTGACGGCCAACAGGGAGCTCTGGCGTGGGCTGGTCCATGAAGTCATGAAGAGTCGGAAATGACTGAACAAATGAACAACAAATTTGATCACCCTGAATTGTACTTTATACAGAATGAACTTTCCCAACTCCCTTGATCTTTCCCCATAGGGAATGGTTTCCAGACCATAACTATACATAAGGAAATGAGTGTAATCAATAACAATATAGTAATTTTAAAACTAGACAAATATGGAAAGGAAAACAATTAATATATAGCAACATCATTTTTTAAACTAACAGCTTAAGGCAATATAAACATAGATCAGGAAATGTATAATAGCTTTATTGTATTTTCGTTTGTTTGTTGTTCTGGGTTTAGTCCTAAGCTGAAAGAACCTCAGAAATCAATCGGAAATCTCTGCCCAAGCCCCTGTAGTCCGTATGGCCAAACTGGTTAGCCGGGAAGTAAATGTTGCTCAAACTACGTAGGATTACACAAGTTGTCCTGACTTGGGATTCAGAAACTCGGGTCTATGCCAGCTTGTCAGTCATCCAGAATTTATTTCAGTCACAGAGCCTTATTGTATAATTTGGAACTTGCTGAACAGATCACATTTTCTCCGGGCAAAAATGATTCTTTTACAGGGAAATCCCCTTTTTATTTCCCTGAAGTAAGAGGTGGCAGGGAATGGTCTGTTTTTCCTCCAGCTGCTCCCTCAGTTACAGTAACTGTACATGCAAATATTGCTAGGGCTCATAGGGGAAAATCTGGAGCCCCTTTATTGATCAGAAGAGTTAACCATCGTCTTCTCTGTGCCACTACTACCAACCTGAGATACTTGCTTTCTGATGCAAAGGCCCCAAGTTTCCGGTCCCAATATAAAGTGCAGGTGATCACCTACAAAGCCCTAAATTGTTCGGGCCTTGCCTATCTTCATGACCGTATCTTCCCCTACAAACCAGCACGTACTTTAAGATCCTCGGGGGAGGCTTTCCTCTCGCTCCCACCACCGTCTCAAGCGCAGTGAGGACAAGGGAGAAAGCCTTCTCTGTTGTGGCCCCTCGGCTCTGGAACCCTCTCCCTAGGGAAATCAGACAGCCTCCACTCTCTCAATTTTCTGCAAGGAATTAAAAACTTGGCTGTTCAGTTGTGCTTTTGACTAGGTGGTTCACTAGAGAATTATCCTGACCTTATCTAAGCTCCTGCACTTTAGTTGTCCCCTTTCCTTTACTTGTGACACTTTAATGGCCAAGGGAATTATCCTGGCAACCCAGTCCCCTGACTATTGCACCTTCCCTCAGCTCTACCAAGGAATCATTGCACTTACTCTGAGCCCGAACCCAGCTTCAAATTGTTGGCCATCCAGGGCATTGTTCTTATGATATTAATTGATTTTACTGTTTGTATTATTTGTTGTTATTGATTGTATTTTATTGTGTTTGTTTTAACTTGTAATCCAGGGCTTGTCCCTTTGTAAGCCACCCTGAGTTCCTTCGGGGAGATGGAGGCGGGGTACAAAAATAAAGTTGTTGTTCTTCAGGCTAAATGGCACCTCTCCTTCTTAATACTTTTCAGACCACTACCCTAAGTCTCATCTGCCAAGGCTCACAAAAGTGGTTATTCTTACTCTGTTTCTAACTTTTTCCAGCCATGTTGTTGAAATATAATTCAAATAGCTCCTCTTCGGTTATTACTGTTCATGAGAATCCTGGGAATGACTGCCCTATGGTACAAAGTATGGTTAGCATGGTGCGGCAATATACAGAATCATAGAATCAAAGAGTTGGAAGAGACCTCATGGGCTATCCAGTCCAACCCCCTGCCAAGAAGCAGGAATATTGCATTCAAATCACCCCTGACAGATGGCCATCCAGCCTTTGTTTAAAAGCTTCCAAAGAAGGAGCCTCCACCACACTCCGGGGCAGAGAGTTCCACTGCTGAACGGCTCTCACAGTCAGGAAGTTCTTCCTCATGTTCAGATGGAATCTCCTTTCCTGTAGTTTGAAGCCATTGTTCCGTGTCCTAGTCTCCAGGGAAGCAGAAAAGAAGCTTGCTCCCTCCTCCCTGTGACTTCCTCTCACATATTTATACATGGCTATCATATCCCCTAATCCTAACCCTAACCTTAACCCTAACCCTAACTCTTCCTTCCTTCCCTCCCTCTCGTAACTGTAAAAATAACTAAACCAGTTACAGGTACAGCCCAAAATTTAGGTCTGCATTACAAAGACCTACACCAAATTGCTAATTTCACTTGTATGCATCCAGCATCTGGATTGGTGACTCAACACATAAGATAGACTGGCACCAATCACTGTTCTTGAGGACCCTCTTCCAGTTCCCAAGATATGTGTCATCCTGTGTCTTGTTGTGAGAATCCAGGGAAATCCCCCTGTCAAGAAGAGCTTAGTGATGGGTCCTTAAACATTGCATTAAAGTCAGTGTTTTCAGACTGAGCTCAGGTGTGATTCACCATCTCACCCAGAGTGATTACACAATTATTTACAGTATTTATATTCCGCCCTTCTCGCCCCACAGGGGACTCAGGGCAGATTACAATGGACATATACATGGCAAACATTCAATGCCATTAGACTTACAACATATATAGACAGACACAGAGGCAATTTAACATTCCAGCTTTCCAGCTTCATGAGAGTATGCTCGATTCTGGCCACAGGGGGAGCTGCTGCTTTACTGTCCACTTTTGACACCGAGTCCTTGATGGAGTACTTCCTCATTCTTACACATGCTTCTGTAACGTTTTATGGTGTCGTAAATTAGTTAAATTAGCCTCCCCACATAAAGCAGTACCTAAATTTCCTACTTGACAGATGCAACTGTCTTTCGGGCTGCATAGGTCAACAGCAAGCTAGACTATTAACGGTCAGGAGCTCACTCTGACCTGAGCTGGCTTCAAACTCATGACCTCTCGGTCAGTAGTGATTTAATGCAGCTGGCTACTAACTAGTGATTTAATACAGCTGGTACACTAGCTACTGGTTCAAGGTTAATTCTAAAAAAGCCTCTTCTATCAACCTCTCTTCAACCTTCCTTATCTCATCTGGGTTTTGACATGGCCCTTAAATCTATTTTTAAAAGACTGTGGGACATTGCCTTTTGTGAGCTGCGTCCTCACTCATATGTTTTGTGTTCCCCAAGCACCCTGAGTGTACATTATGTTGGGCCTTTTCATGAAGCAAATTATTTTAAGAACTTGACTGTGGCCAAATATTGCTACCTATTCTCCAAGGTGCAGTGTGTTCCCATCTGAAGTGCTTCGAGGCAGATTTGCAGGAGTCTCACACAATGCAAGACTTTGCCCACATAATAACCAGGACATTGAATGAATGTATCGCATCTTATTGTCTCGCATTTTTCACAAGCAGGCTCAGCTATATACTATTAACCCACTACTGAGCAACCTACCCAGTAGATCTGCCCAATTCCAAGTTTTTATTAGGTGACAATTTCCACATGTGGCCTTGGCTATTGCCAGGTTTCTCTCCAAGGTAGCCAGGATAAGACAACTTACTGTAATAGACCCAGGTTGAATCTTATCTTGTATATATTTGCAGTGCTTTTACCCTTGTTCATGTGCATCTAGAATTACAATCATCCTGTTTTTAAGAGGTCTGCTGTGCACTTTTTCCACTGAGCAAATTGGGTATTTGGACTATAATAAAGATTGATGATGATGATGATGATGTTAATATTTGTGTAATAATTATTTATATTATGTACATTGAAGCCTGAAGGCAAATTAACATTTTGTGCGCTGATCTGAGTGCCTTTGTACCCAAAGAACAGGGGAAATTTTCTCTAAATAATAAAATAAATAACAATAAATTGTTGTCAGAAATATATTAGGATTTCAACTGTGATTGTGTTTGCCATATACCATTATTCAATCCAGATGGAGGCACATTGGCACCGCCTGTACACTTGTAAGGAAACATAGCCACTGCTCAAAGGAAGGTATGAAAATTCATCAATATATAACATTTTTAAATAACCACAAGATGCAGGTTCCAGCACTAATCAAACTCAACTAGAAGAAACCACAGTTCTTTCCATATTTTGGTCCAGCATAATAAAAGTATTACCCTCCACGGAATTGCTATTTTTATGGACACAACAGCATTTTCCTCCTGTAGAGTTCCCTCCCCAGTTCTATTCTTGTAGTTGATCTGGCCCTGGGGACATTGATAGCATCTATCACTCACCCTTTGCTTGTTTTACTCTGATCAGCTGCTATTGCAGCCTCTTCTATTTGTGTGGTTGGGGCATATGGTCTTCCCAGGAAATAAATATTTTGAAGTTCTCAGAAATGACCACTTTTGGTGCTGACAAATGTCATGTGCATAGCCCACAAAGCAAAGGTAGATCAGAAGTGTTCCTGCAACAATCCATGGCATTCTGCTTCCTGGGATAATGTGTGCAGCCATCCATACTGATAACTGCCATGATCATAGCATCTTAGAGTTGGAAGAGACCTCATGGGCCATCCATTCCAACTCCCTGCCAAGAAGCAGGAAAATTGCATTAAGCACCCGTGACCGATCCCCTTGTTGCCTCTACTACCTTTTGGATCATAAAATTGTCTGCAAGGCATGTTAGAAATTTGTTGGATTTTGTACTCTTGGCCGAATTTGATTGAAATCGCCCATGTTGTGTATTGTCTGAATGGGTTTTAAGGTTGCTGTTTTTATACCCCTATGTTTTATTTAATTGAGTTTTATTTTATTGTTATGTTTTGCTATGTTTTATTTTAATTGTATTTTTTGTTTTAATGGATTGCTTTTGCTTTGATGTTCTTGCTTTGGTGTTCTGTGGACATTTTCTACCATGTGTAAGCTGCACCAAATCCCTTCGGGGAAATGGTGGCAGGGTAAAAAATAAAGTTGTTGTTTTTCTTGTTATCTCTTCTTTGTACCTTTGTAACGGTTGACAGAAGGCTTCGTAGAGTTCTTCATTCTAGCTCAGAGGTCTGTAGTAGACGCTCACAATGAGATCTTTTTGAGTCCTGGTTCCCTTGATTCTTATCCAGATGTTTTTAAGCTGGTTTCGCAGATTATAGTTTTGCATCTCTTCTGTGGCATAACCGTTTTTGACATATAAGGGTACTACCCTTCCTCTCCCCTTTCTTCTTTTTCTGTCAAAGAGGTTATAGCCCTGGATGGCTACATTCCAGTGATAGGAGTCATTGCATCAGGTTTCAATGATGCCTCATAAGTGTGGTATTATGCTAAAAGTTGGATTTTGTCTTGTTTATTTCCCATGGGTGACAGATGACAGCAAAACCTCTTATATATGAAACCTGAAAAAGAACAGCATCGCCAACACTTCCTTGTTGCAGCATTTCTAATTTCTGGCAGAAACTCTCAAGCAAAGATATCATAGATTTTCTTTACAAAATTGGTTCAGAAGTGGGTTGTCATTGCTTTCCACTGAGGCTTAGAAAGTATGACTTGATCAAGTGTGCATGCCTGAGAGATAATCTGTTCTGCCAAATCTTTGCATGCATCTACACTGTAGAATCAATGCAGTTTGCATCACTTTAACTGCCATGGCTCAGTACTATAGAATTCTGGGAGTTGCAGTTCTGTGAGGCACCAGCACTCTTGGGCAGAGAAAGCTAAAGACCCTGTAAAATGCAGCTTCCATTATTCCATAACATTGAGCCATGACAGTTAAAGTGATATCAAGCTACATTCATTTTACAAGATAGATCCAGCTTCAATTTTTGACGAAAGTCAATTATATATCAAATAAAAATAAGAAACACAACTCGGTTTTATAATCTAATTCAGGATTTTTATTTAGTTCTTCAGTAACCTACTAGAAATGTTTTCTTGAGACAATAGAAAAGATGCATTGCTCAGAGTTCAGTGGCAAAAGTGTAAATCACAGGTGTACAAAAAGTAGATTATTAATGAGATCCTGGCCTAAAGCATTACATCTGCAGCAAAGTTTCCCAAAACAATGGGGCGTATTATTTAGCATGAAAGCATGTTAAATCTGTTTTTGGTACATGAAGCCAAGTAGTACCTATTATGGATAAAAGAATATGGGTTGACCCATTTATGAATAAGGTGATGGGGTTTCAGAAATGTGAATTGTCCACAATGCAATCTATCTATTTCTGCTTTCTCTACTTCCTTTTGTCACTTTATCATCACCTACATCTGTATCAAGACTTCTTGATTGTTCATGGAGATTCCCATTATTGGGATTTCTTCCCATCCTCATTAGATTTTTCTGTGGAAGGAAAACAGAAAGGAAAGGAGGGGGGACATTTGTGAAATTTAATTAGGAACAGGTCTGAATTTGCAAGATGAATGTTGAAGATTCTCCAAACTTTGGAAGACAGTATATTCTTCATAACATTTTGATAGCCATTTATCTGCCATCAATACAGTGGCCCTAAGACTCTTTGAAGAAGGTGTTGAGGATTTTTTCCTCAAAAGCCTTTGTCCTAAAGATGTGTATGTGTAGTGTTCCTTTGTGGGAGTCAGAATTAGTGGGTCAGCTGTTCTTGTGGTGGAGGGACAGTTATCTGGTTCTTAACATCAACAAAACCAAAGAGCTCATAGTGGATTATAGGAAGAACACTCCAACCCGGGCTGGCTTCGAACTCATGACCTTTTGGTCAGAGTGATCTTAATGCAGCTGACACTCAGCCAGCTGCGCCACAATCCCAGTGCAAGACACCAAACAGTCCATCACCCTTAAACACACACAAACACACAAACCCAGCGCTGAGACGCTAATGATGTTGCTTTTATTGCTTTTGTGATGTCTTATACTGTTAATGTTTTTATCTATTATGTTTTATGTATACTGATTTGTTGGAAACCACCTTGAGTCGCCAATCGGCTGAGAAAGGTGGTATACAAATACAGTAAATAAATAAATAAATAAATAAATAAATAAATAAATAACAAATTCAGCTCTTGGTCATAAATGGAGACCAAGTGGAACAGGTGGCCAGTTTTAAGTTCATGGGTGTCACTGTGAAGGAGGATCTGAACTGGGGCGCCCATTCAGCAGTGTTGGTGAAGAGGGCCTGAGAGTCCTAAGGACCCACCAAGTGAATTTTAAAAACTGCAGGTGACTTTCTACTGCTATGCTATGGAGAGTGCGCTAACCTACTGCATCTGAACATGGTTTGGTAGCTGCACAGTGTCAGATAGGAAGGAGCTCCAAAGGATCACCACTTCTGCACAGCCAATCATTGGTTGCCCTCTCCCCTCTTTGGAAGAACTCCTACATCCTTGAGAAAGCTTAGAGCATTCTTGCGGATCCATCTCACCCATCATATTTATTTTTTGAATCATTGTCATCTGGAAGACGGTACAAGGTGACAAAAACAAACAGACTGAAGGATAGAGCTGTGGTTATGTTGAACTCTGTGATTTCGTACTGATGTAGCATTGAGGGCTGTGTGGTGGGTATGGGGGTGTTGTTTTGTGCTGTGATGGCATGTAATTTTGTTGTACAATAGCACAATGACAAATAAAACTATTCCATTCTATCCATACAAGAATACACAACCAAAGTATTCCTGACAGATGACCATCTTGAGTCTGTTCAAAATCCTCCAAAAAAGAAGACTGCAACACTCTGTCCTCTGAGGTATTAGCACCACTCCCAATGTTGGAGTCATTTGCAAATTTGGTAAACATGCCTTCTATTCCATCATCCAAGTCATTAATAAAGATATTGAATAGAAATAGAACCAGGACAGAACCCTGTGGCATCACACTCATCATCTTGCCAGGATGAGGAGGAGCCATTGGTGTGTTCCCTTAGGATTTGGTCCCAAAATCCCTTCTAAAGGAAATTGAACTCTGCATCAGTGACTATTAGTAATTATGGTGCCTGCAGGTAACTGTATCAAAATACAGATCTAGGATATCATTTCCAGTACAAGCCAAAATTCTTAGAAACATCTGGTTCATGATAGGCAAACACACACGGCAAAACAGAAAGCTGAACTTACTTGACTGTGCAGAATATGCTTTCAAGAAATCACAGTGGCGGGCTGGTGAGACCTGTTGATTTTGAGGCATCTCAGTATTAAGAAGGAAGACCTTCTGCTGCATGGCATTGTAGAGGGGCCACTTTCCCACCTTGACCTTGGACTCTGTGGGATTCCTGTGGAAGAAGCAAGAATATATTTAAGGCCAATATGACTGCATGTGGACACTGAAGACTGAATAGCTACTTTTAAAAGACGAAATCCTAACCTAACTAACTGCCTTTTACATCTGAGAACTACAACTCTAAGTTGTTGTTTGCAAAAAGCAATATTCCAAGTTATAGTTAGCTCTGAGGACTCCTCTGTGGCATCTGGAGAATCAATAGAGGTAGAGAATGCTGTACACCATGGGCCTTTCACCTGATTGAACATACCTTCCATTATGTTCTTATTTCTTATATACAGTGGTCCCTCACTTATTCGGGTGTTATGTTCCAGGACCACCCGCGATAAGTGAAATTCCGCAAAGTAGGGACACCTCCTCCCCTTCCCTCCTTGCCCTCTTTACCTTCCTCCTCCTCATCGCCGCCTGGACCTCTTGCCACCGCTTGGGCCCCGCGGTGCCTGGGCCTCCATCGCCTCCTCAAATGCAGGGCAAAAGCAGCAGCAAGAGGCCGAGGCGGGGACAAGAAGAACAACAAAAAAGGTAAAGAGGGCAAGGAGGGAAGAAGAGCCGACCACAGAGGGAAGAAGCTTCAACAAGAGGCCCAGGTGGTGATGAGGTGCCCCCCTCTCTCTCTCTCTCACTCAATGTTCCCTCGCTACTTACATTCTTTTTTTTTTTAGGCACGAAACAGTGAGCCCACAATAAATGAACCGTGAAGTAGCGAGGGAACACTGTATCTGCAGGGGATAAGACTTATTCTAATAGCCATTAGGGTCACTTCTAGAACTATCCTGTTGTGTGCAAGAGGTGTTTGTGCATACAGCTAGCTTTTTTTCTTTTTTTTCTTTTTTTTTGCGGAAAATAAACAGAACTGAGTCCCCTGTGGTGCAATGGGTTAAACCGCTGAGCTGCTAAACTTGCTAAGTGAAAGGTCACAGGTTTGACTCCAGAAAGCTGTGTGAGCTTCTGCTGTTAGCCCCAGCTTCTGCCAACCTAGCAGTTTGAATACATGCAAATGTGAGTAGATCAATAAGTACCGCTCCGGCAGGAAGGTAATGGCACTCCATGCAGTCATGCCAATCACATGACCTTGGAGATGTCTACGGACAACGTCGGCTCTTTGGCTTTGAAATGCAGATGAGCACCACCCCCCAGTGTTGGACACGACTGGACTTAATATCAGGGGAAAACCTTTACCTTTACCTAAACAGAACTGAGGTTCAGATATGTCAGTTCGATACTTGAACAATTCCTGAATGCTCAACCAATTGCCCAAGCTTTTACTACATAAGATCTGAGATCAACATGTGCATGTTGCCACAGGAAAGCAAAATGAGGACAGTAACCCAGCCAGTTAGAAATCTCACCTGCCATGAAGGTTTCCTACATTTCCAGCATTGCAGTAACTTAAATGTGGAACTGAGCATTGTGAAATAGAGTTTTGGCATCCAAAGAAGAGGAGCAAGCAAAGTTGCCAAAAGGAATGCAAACACATATAACTAAAAAGTAGGTGCAGGCGATTCTGGGTTCTAGGTGTGAACTATTTTTATTGTCTCCTTCTTGGTATTGCCAAAAAATTTGGAGACTGAAGGGAAGTTTCCTTACCCATTTCTGGCGAACTCTGCCCAATAGTGCATGATCCTATGGCTCAATGCAGCCTCAGCCTCTGTAAATGTTTTGTTGACAGCCACAGCCAACTCAAGATTGCCAAACACATATGGTAGCTCAGCACCATGAGGAGCTCCAAACCACTCAGGGAAGGCTGCACCAGAGGTGTGGTGAGAGAAGATGTAAGCATACACAGGACTCCCAGCTTCTTGGACCTTTGCCGTAAATTCAGCTAATGGGCACCAAAACCCATATTCATTGATCATCTGAGACATTGCCGACCGGTACTGTGCAGCACCCTGATAGTCTTCGCTGTACTTCAGGGCCACAGCCTTCACATCTTCAGGACTCACATTGCGAATTGTCCTCTTTGCTATGTTCAGAAGTTGATCCCAAGAGATCAAGCCATCCTTCACTTCAGGGTAGTAATATGGCACAAAATGAACTGTTTCATCCGAAGTTCCACCGAGGAGAATTGGTTTGACCTGGATGCGTCCCGATTGAAGTAGTTTTTGTGGATCCTCAGGCAAAAAGTCCCCATCAGTGGTTGGTAAGAAGGGGACATCCAGAAGAAACTCCTGCTTCAGCATTAAAGGTACCTCCTGCTGACTAAATTCGGTTGCATTTTTCCCCCGAAGGCAGCTCAATAAAGCATTTTCATCACTTCCCTCACATCCCAGAAGATGACTGAGAGCAAGGGTTTTCTGCTTAACCTCCTCAGGACTTTTCCATCCCCAGAGCACATTGGGAACTGCACTCTGCAGGATAGCTTGGCTGAAAAGTGGCTGGCTTCTTGGAGAAAGGAGATGCAAACCCACAGATACTGCCCCGCCATTGTGGCCAAAAATGGTAATCTTGTTAGGATCTCCACCAAAAGAAGCTGCATTCTCCTTGAACCAGGTCAGTGCTAACTGTTGATCCAACAGACCCATATTTCCTGGAATAACAGGTGGCAAATAAAAGAAGCCCAGAGGACCCAGGCGGTAAGTAATGGAGGCCACAATGACCTTCTCTCTTGCAGCTAAGGAAGCTCCGTTATATAAGTTCATTGAACCTGACCCAGAGGAAAATCCACCCCCTCCATGGATCCAGATAAGAATGGGAGTTGGTGTAGAGGGCCGTGGATGGGGCACCCAGATGTTCAGAGAGAGACAATCTTCTGACAGAGGCCTGTTGAGAGCCCACGCCTTTGAATCAGAGGACTCTGGGTAAGTGACCTGGGGGCAGGCATTGCCAAAGTTGTCAGCCTCCAAGACTTGACTCCAGCGCTGATGTGGACGAGGCTTCTGGAAACGCAGGTTCCCCAAGGGAGGCTCAGCATAAGGGATGCCAAGATAGGCCATCACAGAACTAGAGCTTTCTGGGAGAAGTTTTCCCTTAACGGGACCGCTCTTGGTGTTCACCACGGTCCCATCTCCAGTGGGAGAACTGGATGTCAATGAAAATAGAAGGAGGAGAAAACAGAAACCAGGGAAAGGATGACCAAGTATCATGGCAGCTGAAAGGAGAAAATGGTAGACAAGGTTAAATAAATACAAGGCATCTATTTCACTCATAATCAGTTGTAACCTACCAGCACCATTTTCCCCTGTAGCTCTGCCTAATCATGTATGTGTGTGTATGCACCTTCCTTCAAGATGCTTATCAATTTATGGTAATTTCATAATTTTCACGGAATTTTCTTAAGCAAGGAATACTGGGAAGTGTGTTCACTTGTTGCTCCTCAAAACTGCATCTGGTATTCTTTGGTGGTCTACCATCCAAGTACAAATCAGGTCTCACTCTTCCTAATTTCAAGTTCAGATGGGATCTAGCACCTTCAAGCCTGCCCAACAGTACACCTCTGAAATTCCAAATGGACACTTCTCATCTCCTAAATGATAAGACACCTTCAGCAAAAATGTAGAACTTGTTCACTCAGCAGCATTATGATCTATGACAGCCACAATCTTTTCTAGAATAGATAATTTTGTTATACTTATTTAATTGTTGATGCAGTTTATTGTCTCCATTTAACATTGCTAATATTCCTTTTTCATGTGCTTTCTCCAGTGTTTTTTAACAGCCTTATTATTGCATCAAATGTATTTTTGTAAAATATTCCTACTTCTCACCTGGCAGAGTATGAATGCAAATGGATAGAAAAGAATCATTTTAAGCTCCCAACAAAAATCACTGAGCCTCTTGAAATATATATATATGCTAGAATATGGGCATCAAGGCAATAGCAACAGCCTCATCATTTTCTGAAGAATTACTTTACAAATAGAGTCAGACCTTATATACTGTACACTATTCCCCAACTTTGGGAGCCTCTTGAATACAGCCTCACCAAGTTGTGGGAATAGTTTTCAGGACCTCAAAGGGCCAAGTTTTATTTTTATTTTTGCTTTCTCTTAAGAATTGGGATTCAAGGCAGCTTTAGAAATGTAAACTAATGCAGATAAATTACATATTTAGATATACATTAACAATATTAACTGGAGCCCCCCAGTGACACAATGGGTTAAACCCTTGTGCCGGCAGGACTACTGACCCATAGGTCGGTGGTATGAATGTGGGGAACAGGGTGAGTTCCCATCGCAGCTCTAGCTTCCCATGCGGGGACATGAGAGAAGCCTCCCACAGGATGGTAAAACATCAAAACATCCCAGCGTTCCCTGGGCAACATCCTTGCATATGACCAATTCTCTCACACCAGAAGCGACTTGCAGTTTCTCTAGTCGCTCCTGACACACACAAACAAAAAAATTAACTGTATTCTTGTTCAACAATTGTAAGATCATAAAATGGACTTTAGGCTTGTATCTGATGGAGTACAGTAGTCAATGACTGTAAACATGACACCCCAAAATCTCTAGCTTTAAAAGTTTGCAGCATTCCCACCCCAGCTGCTTCCCTAACATCACCATCTCTTCCTGCTAAGTAAAGAACAGCTTGTGTCTTGCTTGCCTTCAGTAGTGGCCCTCTCCTCAGTTCCTGGCTGCCTCCTTCTCTTCCCCTTCAGCAACATCTGCCTTCCCTTCTTCACTCTTCTCCTTTTAAACTCTTGCTCTCCAAGTTCTGGCTCTGATGAAACCAAGCATTTATTTCCTCCCTCCAGCTTTCCATTTCTCAATGCCTGTCTAACATGGAAGATTTTTCTGCTCTCAGACATCCTACAAGTTCCTGTAGACTGTTAGTCATAGCAAATTGTATATGGACCATTTACATTAACATCGCTCAAGGAATTAGTTGCCACAGACAGAGGGAGCCACACATTTTCTAGGAAACTCCAAGCCTAATTTTATACCAAGAGAGTTCCTCTACACTCTGAGCAATTGCTGGAAATATGGGTTAGCAACTGTCATGGATTCAATGTATTGTCAAAGGCTTTCATGGCTGAAATCACTGGGTTGCTGTAGGTTTTTTGGGGTGTATGGCCATGTTCTAGAAGCATTCCCTCCTGACATTTCACCTGCATCTATGGCAAGCATCCTCAGAGGTTATGAGGTCACAACCTTTGAGGATGCCAGCTATAGATGCAGGCAAAACATCAGGAGAGAATGCTTCTAGAACATGGCCATACAGCCCAAAAAACCTACAACAACCCACTATTATGAATTCCTCCCTGTATTTCTGTCTAGGCTTCCTGGCTTCGCCATCTTCATTTGAAGGATCACAAGAAGGAGGTTTGGTTCAGCCTCAGGAAGAAAGGAAGGAAGGATGGATATCAGGTCAAGGGCTGATTTTGAAGCAAAAACAATATTTATTTATGAAGAAGACAGGAAAATATAATATATGAACCCAAAATAATAGTAACAACAAGCTGTTTCTCAAAGGAAAACCCTACTCCTGACAAATCTAAAGTGTCTATGGAATGCAGCTAAGTATAAAGGGGCTTCAAACTAAGACATTTATAGGGTTGCTGTGAGTTTTCCAGGCTGTATGGCCATGTTCCAGAAGCATTCTCTCCTGGCATTTCACCTGCATCTCTGGCCGGCATTCTCAGAGGTTGCCTGTGTATAAGACATCTACAGACTTTCTCGACCTCTGATGTGAAGAAAAATCCAAAAAAGAGAGGAAAGTGCGTTCTTGATTAAGGGGACTCTCTTCCTCTCTCTTTTCTTCAGTTTATCATTAACTTCTGGAGATTCTGCTTTTCTTCTGTTCCTGTACAGACTCCTTCGTGCATCTATCTGCCTTTAGTTCTGTATTTCTTTGCTTTGCCCCTATATTTAACCTGTTCTTAACTTGGGGCTGTCACCTAAGGTACAGCAGACACTTCTGGGTGAGGCCAAATATGATCTTAATGTTATTCTATGGGAACTTCAATAGGAAAGTCCCAATGTGCTTAAAGTGATGAGCAAGGCTTGTGCTTCGTGTGCAAAAAGAGTCTATGTGCAGGTATGAATGTCTGTCTGTCACCCTCTGGTAATGGTTCCAAATACTGCCCCGGAGTGTGGTGGAGGCTCCTTCTTTGGAAGCTTTTAAACAGAGGCTGGATGGCCATCTGTCAGGGGTGATTTGAATGCAATATTCCTGCTTCTTGGCAGGGGGTTGGACTGGATGGCCCATTAGGTCTCTTCCAACTCTATTATTCTATGATTCTATGATTCTATTCTTAAGGGTTTGGATATGAAAACAATGAAGTTGCAACACATGGGGCACTTGTTGTCTTTATAGGATTTCCCAACTTTTGACAACTGTGCAGTGCAGATCTACTGGTCTGAGCCGGTTTGACAATGCCTCTGTTCATTGATTAAAATAGTTAAGCATTGATCACTCTCTTGAATGCAACAATGAGACAATTTCCTTGTCAGCAGGAGGGAGAGAGTTTCAAAGGGAAAATCCAGTTTGCACTTGACTTCTTCCAAGATGGCCAGGGATCCAGATACTTTTCCCTACCCTGCCTCATACAATGTGTTTTAGGCACCTTCCTGCCAAAAACATTTGCTTGAAAATCATATTTATCAAGCATTATTCATAATACAATTGTGAAGCATGTTGGCAAGTGATAACTCCATCTCTCTGCCTAGTCCAGGGTATGGACATTGAAGCACTCAAGATGTTGTTGAACTACAACTTCCATCAGTCTAAGCCAGCATAGCTAATAGTTTGGAGTATGGAGAGAGGGCCTTCTCAGTGTCTGTCTCTCAACTGGAACTGCTTTCTCAGGGAGACCAAAATGTGTCCCCACCTTTGTTGTCTTTTCTGGTTCCAGGCTAAAACCTTTTATTCAGACAGACTTTTACAACAGTTAGGGCAAGCTACATTATTTTATGACAACTTTATATTTTTATATCATTGCATTTTAATTGTATTGGTTCAATAATTGAATTAGTTTAATTCTATTTTAATATTTATCTTTTTATGTTTTTAATTGTATTGCTTTTAAAGTTTTGAGCTGCTTTGTGTCCTGATCCTGGGAAAAGTTGCAATATTGATAAATAAATATCACCTTTCAACAAATGTTTGCTTGAGGCACTGTCAGGCCATTATATGCTAATCAAGGTGGTCAGTTGAAACATTCACACCTAGCTCCAGCAGACAAGAGCCCTTTGTCTCACTCTGGTCATTCCACAGATATATAAACCCCTTTTTCCTAGTTCCAACAGACCTCACTACCTCTGAGGATGCTTGCCATAGATGCGGGCGAAATGTCAGGAGAGAATGCCTCTAGACCATAACCATATAGCCCGAAAAAACTACAACAACCCATTGTTATTGTTGTTCTTGTGTGGAAATTTGTGAGTTGGAGCCCCATCTTGCCCATTCCTGGCCTAAGTAATAACAAGAAAGGCATAACCTCATCTGCAAACTCTTCAGCTATCCAGAATTCATTCTGCTATTTGTTTGTTGTATATAGAGTTAGTACTCTTCTGCTGTAAGGATCCTAAATGCCTCTTTGAAGATAGTAATTCTGTTTAGAGCAGCTGCCCTGAATCCCATTTGGAAAGAAAGGTAGGATATAAATTCATAAATAAATGAATAACCTTTCTTTCCAGAACCTAATCTGGAGTTTTATTTGGCTGGAAAACTACAATTTCCCCATCCCCAGCCATTGCCTCACTTATGATAATTGTTTATTGTGGGATATGGCAATGCAAATCCACTGGCTGTAGTTCTGATTCTCATAAAGGATATTTTAGTCCATAATTCAACAAAACTATCCAATGTACTTGACCTGTTTTGGACATAGAGTTCAGCAGTTTCTCTAGACTAAAACTCAGAGCAGATTGCCTTCCATCACCACTACCACAGTAGTCACTGTAAATTTTGCAAGTGTGACAGTACCTATTGGTCAGCATCTGTGGTGTCATTAGTGATCTGTGGGAAAGTTCCTTCTTGCACTTGTGTTGTCATTCCCAGTCTTATGATACTTTACTACCTAAGGGAAAGATCAAATAGCATCCCTTCCCCATGACCAAAATTTAATAAGTTTCTTTGCACAATTCAGATTACTAATCCTATCCTTTCATTCACGCATAACCCTCCTCATTCCTTTCTGAAGTTGCAAGGGTAGGCA